TTATATGGGTTTGCATTCTTGCTGATTCCATAACCCTGATATCGTGTGGTTGGTGAGATAGGCTCCCCAACCTTGGGTAACAGCGTCTACATACAGATGGGTTTTGTATTCCTGCTCTGCTAAACAAATCCCTTCGCAGACATTCGATTTCTTGGTCCACCATAGTAGATGTGGTCTGAGATGTTTTGGTAGACTGAATGGTTGTACATCGTTGAGATGTCGTTGATGAGACCTGTAGGGGGCGTAACTGTAATCTGCCTGTGACAGTCATGTCTTGGGCTGATGTGAGAAGACCTAGTAGGCTCTGCCATTGTCGCAGTGGTAGCGGAGAGAGTAGAGCTGGTGGAATGGTCTGTTGTATCTTGAATAGCGGTCTTCTGGTACCATAATACGGTTTGCGATTTGTGATGAATCGAATACCTAGGAACTGTAGGTCTTGCGATGGTACTAGGTCCGACTTGCGTAAGTTTACTAACCAACCTAGTTGTGTTAGTAGCTTTATGATGTAATTTAACTGTAGTTTGAGGCGCAGTGGATCTTGATCTACTTGTATCCCGTCGTCGAGGTAAAGCGCACTCGCGTAGCCCTTGGCGATGTAGAAATTTGATAATCGGTTTCGTTATCCTCGTGAATAGCCAGGGGCTGATGATATTCGAATGGGAGTACTTTCCACTGGTAATGTAGCCCTTCTAGAGTAAATCGTAGGTATTTCCTGGAATCGGGATGAATGGGGATGTGCAAGTAGGCATCCTGTAGATCTATGCTGCCCATGTAGTCCATAGGGCCGAATCATCTGGCGTAACTGAGGTAAATGTATCATCGCGAAACCCGGTGGTTTGCGTAGATAGTTCTTGTTGAAAAAGCTCATGTTGTAGATGAGTCTGTATTTCTCCGTGGAGTTTTCTTGGGAACTAGGAAAACTGGGGAGTAGAAACCTGGTTCGGCGTTTGCTTGATCTATTACTTCTATGGCCTGTTTGGATAGGAGTGATGAGACAGCCTCTTTTATCTTTGGTAGTTATTTGCGCTTGTAAATCGAACTTGACGGGGTTTGATTGTCAGCGGAGGCTTGTCCTGTAGAGGGATCTGAAATCCGTGTTGAATAATGTTGGAGGCGTAAGGATCTTGCAGTATTCCCCAGTTTTCCCAGTGTAGTTGGGCGTCCACCCACTTGAGCTGGTTGTACTGGAGCGGCTGGGGGTGGAAGACTCCAGTCGTTCGAACCTGTGTTTCAGCGTCTATAATTGCGGGAACCTCTGGGTGTCCTGCCTCTTCCTGATCCTCCTCTATAGTTGCCATATGGCGACGCCGAAAGAATCTTTACCTCTAGAGCTGGCTATCTTCCTGTCTCTTGCTCTTTGTAGGCCCGTGAACTTAGATCTGCCTGAGTATCTTTGTGAAGTCTGGCCGAATGGCGCTGGCTAGTGTGTCCATCGATCTAATCATAAGGACTTCCCTGGAATCCTTAGAGACTTCCTTGGCGACCTTGTCGATTTCTCCGTCAAAGATGGATGTTGTCGACCGAGGGCTGTATAAAGTGGGGCTGTAAAGTTCTCCCCAATTACAGGAGGCGAGGAGGCCTTGGCTGACGAGCTAAGGTCAATGCTGCTGAAACAGATGTAAGATGATCCGTTAAAACTGCTGATCTTTCTTTTGCATAAGTAAGGCAGAATAAATCATTCTATCATCTTCCGTCGTGGAATCCGGAATCTAGTAATAAGAGTCTCATTGATCGTCCTAGATCTATTTAACCCAAAGAACATCGTCTCGTCATGGTTTCTATATGAGCCAACTTGCGATCATCCATCTTGTAAATCTTGTTCTTTACATAAGCTGATGATCTTATAGTTCTCATCGATGTCCTGGGCCTTGTAGAAGGAGTCCATGTTATCGTGGAGAACTTCTTGGCTTGAAAGTTGGGTAGATGTGGTATCTGAACTTTTCGTAGCTTTCTGGAAAGCTGCATCTAGATTCTGTGGCACTGCATAATCGGGTCGATCGGGGGTAGAGTGATTGCATCTGGATCATCTTCCTTCATCAAATCGTCTGAGCTGTATTGCCACTTTTAGATGGTGATGTGAGATCTAGGTTATTGACCATCAATACCGTATCTCTGCATCAGAAAATATGATTCCTCCATCATCCTCAAAACCATCATCATTAATAAATTGTAGATGCTCGCCGGGACTGCGTGTAGCTATCTGAATATCTGATGAGGTTTGTGGCGATCTAGTTGACTTGTCGCGCTCTATGTGGAGATCTGATGGGTGATCGACCTGGTGATGAGCGAAGTGGAGATCGTCTATGGGATGATCTTCGGAGACTTGTGAGGTGAATGTTGATAGCTTAGCGAAGCTCTTCGGCAGTCCCTCGATGTTCTTCTAGGCGATGAAGATCTGGAATCATATGTCTCGCCAGCGAATGCCTTAGCGAAGCTTCATTTCGCGTCGGTCGGGGATCGATGATATGACCAGCGAAGGCTTCCGTGATGTCTGATGGTCTGAGTCCATATCTAGAGATGAAATCGAAGATGGTGATGATCTCTCCGCCAGCGAAGGCAGCGAAGGCTGTACATCTAGGTCGCCGTCAAGGTAGTGCGGGACTTCCCAGCGAAGGTGACATCGTCTTGGCTGCTGCTCGTTGGCGGGGGTGCCTCTGGGGTGCTGTCACGTTGGAGAGCCAGCGAAGGCTCGGACCCTGCTTGCGCAGTTGTAGTGGTCCTCCATGATGTTCATAATCTGCGCATCATGTCTTCTGGGATGATCTGTGGCGAAAGTCGCCGGCGTCTTTTCTGCGATGGGGTTCACATCAATGGCGTCTGGCGTCGGTGTAGAGAGCATCAGGCTGCATGGAGATCTCTGCAGAAGTCACAGTCGCTGACACGGTCGCTTCTTCTGCCGTAAGTCGGGGATGATTATCGGCTGATCATCGTAGAGGCCCAACTCTGCTGCTGGAGCGATCTCGGCTGAAAGTTCTTGCTGTCTTCGTAGATTTCCCTTTGGAAGTCTGCGCTGCCCTGGAGTAATCCTCAATCTGCGTTGAGGGCGGCGATGAGGCCCTCTTAGACTTAGTCTGCAATGGCGGGATGTCTGGGGAGGCGGTCGTTTCTTGAGTAACGGACTGCGTCCACGTTCCTCTGCGCGGGGTCTCTAGCAGAACACCAGGCGGAGAGGGTCGATCGCTAGCAGCTGACTGGAAGGAATATCTGGACTCTCTGCCATGTTTTGCCCTTGTTTGCGTGATCTATCTGCATGCGTCTTAAAGGCATAAAAGATGATATTTATTAAATGCAGAATGAGATAAATTAATGCAGTAACTGCAGCGTGAATTAAGCTTACCGCAGTAGAACAACTAGGGCATATTACATGTGGATCGGAGGCAGAAAAGCGTAATCTACAAATCGTACAGATTTTCATGAGCGTAAAGCTAGCTGAACAATCCGCGAATACCGTGAATAAACAGTAGAAATACGATAATTAATCAATACAAATAGTAAAGGATACTAGCTATACCTCTATAGTAACCTATGAGAGGTAAAAACTAAGAGATTATCAAAGGATATGTGTGTAAGGAGACACAAAAGGCTCTCACATCCTGCTCACTGGTGAAGAAGGAGAGTGGAGCACATGGCCAGAGGGTGGCGACACCTTTTCCGCCAAGGGGACAAAGGGAGCAACTTCGTGGTGAGTACCAATTAGTGATTTTATTTTGAAGGGGCTTCAAATAAGGAGATACAAGTGTTCCACTATGTTAGCAAGAAGAAGAAGACAAGCAAAAGAGCATGAGTCAGGATAAGGAAAAATTACAGTCAGCTCGTTAATCCGACACTCATTAATCCGACAATCACGTTAATCCGACAAAAATTAGGGAACCATTTAAAACAGTGATAATTACTCGTTAATCCGACATTCTCGCATTCCGACTCCGACACACCAATCTAGCAACTGATTATTGTAAATACATTGTAAAAACATTCGTTAATCCGACAATCAACACAGCGATTCGGATGATCCGACCGTATACAAACAATCAATGCGTGAGTGGTAATTAAGCGTGTGCCTTACTGGCTGCTTGACACGGCGTCAGTGAACATCACACTTGTTAATTAGGAACACAGGATAATTAATTGAGGCGATTTAATCAAGAAATAACAGTAGAAGCGAGCTGTATAAAATGTTTACAACCGACATGAGTTTTCATCACAAGATGTTTGTCGCGAGTACACCACCTGCTAAGCGACCCCTTGTAGAAGTTCGCCATTGATCAAGAAAGAAATCTCCTTTTGAAGAAAGACAAACCCCAGACAGCACAACAAGAAGTCATCACTTTTGCTGAGCAGAAGTTTGATGTGAAGATTGGACGATCAAGCCGTATCTGACATCCTGAAGCAGTCTGCTTAGTGGTTGGCGTCTCTGACTGATTCAATGCTTCAAGCTATCTGAGGCCAAAACATCGTTGAACACTTTGCAAACATTTCTGACACACCACTTAGGCGTGTTTGATGTTAATGACCATCAAAGACTTTTTCAAGTTATAAATTATATATGTTATGATACAGCCTGATTGTACATTAGGCGTCCACATGTTATTATGGAATTAGTTGTATGGAAACTGTAACATATTCAACATCCGGTCATAATGGCAGCTGATATGCGGTAAAACAAGCGTGAGTTTTGTGCCAATGTGGTCATGAAATAGATATGAAACTGTTGGCTTATGTGATTATATATGTATGTTATGCCATCTATGAATGTTAATAAATGAAAACAAGTATGTATTGTTAGTATTTCTTATTTCTGTGAATATTTTTACATCACGATGAAGATAACTAGATCTACCATTTCTGATATGCATGCAACAGTATGATCATGCGATCATGACATTTAGTAAACATTGATATTTTCAACCACAAGTGTCAAATACATTAATCCGACATTTTCATTAATCCGACATGCATTTTACGTTAATCATAACAGGTACGACATATTTCTCTGCAACCACATTCCTTGTAATGGTGGATAGCGGGATCGAAGTCTCGCTTCTTCTTGTTCAAGTCTTTCACAAACAAACACACATCCAGCGTATCTCTCTTTAAGGAGTGTGGCAACTTCCTGCAACATAAACACAAACACATATTATCTGGATTGACTTATGCAAAATATTTTAACAAGTGGGGTGTTAACTTAAAACTCAATGGTAAAATGAGTGAGACGAGTCTACTGGTGTTTTATAATTACCATAGTTACCATGGTTACCAGTATATCCCAGCATATGGGAGGAACAACATGAGTAAATAGGTGGTAGATGTTTCACCACTTTGGTTAAATCCTTCAAAACAGTTGTGATGATAATGATACTTGGTGAACAACTACTTTTTTAAGGCCTGGATTTAAACCCATGAAGAGAAGAGATCCTATACTTACAAGTGTAGTGTTTTGTTCTTGACATTTGGAACTTTCTTGAAAGTAAACTGCAAATGTATTTTCTCTGCTTCATCAATAAAGTTTGACTTCTTATTGTTCTTGAGTAAACTAGACAGTGCAGCCACTGCTTTCCGCACCTGAAAAACAAAGCACATGGACATTACATAATGGTAATATGAAAGTTGTGAACAATGGTAAATATTTAGGTATCTGCATTGTAAGTGCTTATTAATCTGTGCAGCGAGATTTAAAGTGAAATTGAAGGTCATATTAAGTCATATCTTAATATCCTGTGAAGAGTCAAGTCTGATTCAAACATACCAGGAGTTATAAGTAGCATCAAGGCCGGCACAATGGAGAGTAGACCGATAAAATAGCTCAGTCTCCATGTAAACCAATACATCTCTGCTGTTACATACCATAATAATTCTTAAAGTCAACTATCAATGCCAGTGTCTCCAAAGGTTGTACAATGTAACTCTGGGTAAATTAGGCATTTTTCGGTGCAGAAGAAATGTAACTAGAGCACAAGATAATTGATGCTATCATCAGCATGTTTACTGCATGTGCATTATTCATTTGGCATTGATTGTTGTTTTACACCAGCGTCAGCAATACTTCCAATCTTTCACATGACCATGTGCACAGTGTGAAATAATTAAGCTTGGGACACAAACCATTGGTTAATAGTATAAGCAATGTCCCAAGGAAACCCATTTATACTCACTGATTCACACTGCTGTGCTTATCTTACATTAGTTTGCATTCCTTGCCTATACCTGCTGTTTGCCACCAGCCACTGTTTGTGATGGAGTGTAAACATATAACTCTAATATGTTCTAGTGGGCATTATATAAGTTTATAACCATGATGAAGGTTGCCCCTCTATATAAGAGGTCAGTATTGTGATATGTATCATATCGAAATGATGGTACACTTACAGAATACCGGATACCTAATTATATACATTCTATTGTGCGCGTGAGGCTCCTATATATAGAAGAAACAGAGAGCACGAGCCTGCGAGCGATCCAATAAGAATACGAATTTAAGGTAAAAAATAAGGTTAAAATCGAATTCCTCACCTTACTTCCGGTTTAGGAAACCTAAACTGGGGATTTTAACAGCGTTCGCTGACATAAACAGAGTAAAATGTAATCGTGTGTTGACATTTTATTCAAATGCATGCTGGGAAAAGGAACTCTACAGTGTGGGAACACTCTGATGGTAAGTGATTTTTGATTGGTAAGGTAAGGTAGGTAAGGCTTTTAAATAAAGGGGGGTACCCCCTTTACCCCCATTATCTTACCTTTTTTTAGCTTTAATATTGTTTGATATTTAATATTTAATATTGAACGCTGCTTCAACACAGCCTTCATTCATCGCGTGCCGTTGCTAAGGAAACAAAATGGAAGTGCGCAAAAATAAATGCGCAATCAAAATAAAAATGGCAGATAGGTATCCGGTATTCTGTAATCTTGCCGAAATGATTGCTGTAATGACATTGACAGCCACTACTTAATTACTGAAAAAGTCCAGAAAAGTGAGTGAGTAAGGTTTTATGCAATATTCCAGCAATATCATTGAATATGACAGGGGACACCAGAAATGGGGTTCACACATTGTAGCCATGTGGGGAATCGAACCCGGGTAGTCAGCATTACGAGCGGAGCATAACCATTAGGCTACCCACTGCTGCAGTCCGGAAAAGTGCAGTTCTCCTATGTAATGTTAACAACATATTATCACGTATGTCTTATTCTGATTGTGTTTATGACAAATTATTCCAGGACAGTTTACATTTGTTTCAGGTACCCATTTTGTGAACGTTCTGCGACAACTAGTTTTCCGCCTTGTTAATTTGATTGATTTTCAGTTTTTAAAATTCGATAATTTATTGAGTTGTAGGGCAGGTAGGATCAAATTGTTACTTGATGGAAGTGTTATACATTTGAAACCTTTCTTTCCAAATGAGATCTATTATTCAGAAGATTTGGAACTGGTCGAAATTCGTATAAATATATATCATGACCATACATTCTATTTCAATTTCCACATACCCTAGACTTCTCACGAACTACTGTCGCCCTACTCTCCCTATCCAGATTGTAACAGACGATCAAAAATATGGCACTGTGTAATCCCTACCTTAGCTTTCTCTAACTCCATTTTCCCCACGTGGGTTCTGTATTCAGGAGCCCGGCACTGAATGTATTAAGGTGAAGGTCGAATGCACGATTTATTTCTAAAAATATAATATGACAATTTATGTAAGGTACTCTTGATACCTGTCTTCCCTACTTTTTATTCACCGATTAATATAGCATTAAAAAATAAACATATCGTAAACAATGTTTTCTGCGGAGCTGGGACGTTGTAAAATGGAGGACTGGCCATCGACTGTGTGTGAAAACGTGCGGCCACGTCGGCATTCAACGTTGTAATACTGTCATGGTTATCAACAGTATCGATGAGTCTGCCAGTTGATGACTACGAAGAAGATATGATTTCTTCAGGTTACCCGTCCACTGTACACGAGTGGATGAAAGCTATTCGCAGACCCACACCTTACAGGGTGGGCAATGCTCGATTGCACCTGAAAACACGAACTGTCATATACGCTGCGCTTTTTTCAACAGCTATTTTTGTGTTGTTTATAGTATTTATTCCCCGGCCTGCTCCTGTGGCTCCGAAATGTGACGAATTTTATTCAGATAAATATTATTTTTCAAAATACCCATTGACAGCACCAACAAGGACAGAACATGGAATGATGTATTCTATTGGTCTAATAACAGATCTTGATACGGACTCCAAAAGTAAAGATAAGAAAGACACATGGTTCAGTTATTTCAGAACTGGCAACTTTACCATAAGCCATGACAACCGACATGTCAGTGTGAAACTGAACCAGCCTGTGGTTATCACTTCTACATTGTCTCAAGGTGGGCGTGGTATGGAGTTGTCAGAACTAGTGACATTCAATCAGAAGTTGTATTCTGTTGATGACAGAACTGGAGTCGTCTATGATGTAACTGACAGACGTGAAGTTGTGCCTTGGGTTGTACTTTCAGATGGAAATGGAAAACATAATAAAGGTGCTCTGAACTTTTTACTCCTGTTATTACACATTATTCAGAACATTGAGACCTGGCTTGCAAATTATATAACAGGTCCCCAGCACTATTGCTTTTGAGAGTCTAATATCTTGGATCAGGATGTCAGGCTTGGTTGATTATGTCCTTGTCAGTCCAACAGCATGGCGTATAATATCATTCACTGGATTGTCTGTCAAAGACTTCATTATTTACAGGCTACCATGGTACACTATCACCTTATTATCTGTCTAGTTTCATTTGACATGTTGTAGAACTCAGTTTAAGGTGTTGCTGCACAAAGCCCTGTGCATCAGACAGCAAAATAAGGATATAGCAGAACTATCTGATGATAAAAATGAACCTAAATGGTCATCTAAAAAAAGCAACTACAGGATATATGCAGTCTTTAAAGGATGTTAAAAATATCAGATCAGCCTGCAAGTTAATTTTTAACACTATGTTGATAGGGCTATTGTCACCATGCTCACATGATACTAATCAAAATCATACACTCATTTACTTTCATTTAGAGAGTGTTTTGTCTTTCCTTCTGGCATACAATATAGTAATTCAAATCTATGTCACTAATCACTAAACCACAATCAGACCACTGCAGCGAGCTGTGCAGAGTTATTTGCCAATGGATAATGTTTCTATTAGTGAAGTCCAGTATTTGACCTCTGTCCAGAGTATGAGTAACATAAATATAAAAAGTGGGAATGAAATGTTTTGTGCAAGTGGACTCAAAAGTATTTGTCAAACTATTGACTGACATTGGCTAATTATATGCTTGTCATTTTTACAGGCTTTAAGTGTGAATGGGCTGCTGTAAAGAATAAGAGGTTGTATGTAGGTGGCCTGGGAAAAGAATGGACCACCACTACTGGAGAAGTCAAGAGCCTGGATCCTCAGTGGGTCAAGTCTGTTGGCGTTCTGGGAGACGTACAGCATCACGATTGGCATGAAAACTACAATGCTCTCAGAGCTGCTACTGGAACTCTTTTACCAGGTACAAATTGCAACACCAGAACACATTTATGTTCAACAAACATCTAGATGATAGAAGAACCAAAATAGATTGAAAAAGTTAATTATAGATTACAGATGAATGTTGATGAATGGATGAACATTTCATCTTCTCAAGTAAAGGGGGTTAACCAGTGTTCACTGACCATGAATACCCAAGTAGTCATATGTAACATATGTTATATTTGGGATTACACTTTCTTAATAAAGTACAGATTCTGTACTGGGTTCGAATCAAGGATGGGACACAATGCAACAAAAGTACTAGAATCTGTACTTTACTAAGAAAGTGTAATCCAAAATATAACGTGTTACATATGACCACTTTCTAAATGGCACTGTGTGTTCATAGCTTTTGGCTGTGGGAGCCATGCCAATATACACTTATCAGAGGGGTACACAAAGTCTGTGATCTAGACTACCAGTTGTCCGACTTCCATTTTTATTTAAGCCGCAGTGTCTGAGCGGATTAGGCAACTGACATTGTGTGCTAAAGTGTAATCCCAAATATAACATATGTTATAGTTAACTGACTGTTAAATTCAAGTTTCCAGCCTTGCCAAGCTAGGCTGTTATTTCTTGACGCCACTGGTGGTTATGAACTGTGTCCCTTACATATCCCTCGTATTAACTGGTGTGATTCCTAAGAAAGCATCAATAGTTATAATGTACAGCAGTGTCTCGCGAAATGTACTACTAGGTCAGCAGGGGTGGAAATAACTTTAAAATTGCTAGTGTACTCGGGAACAGTGGCACATCTAAAATCACTTGCCCTGATAATTTTTCCACTATACCAGCCGTTTTCTTGTTGATTATTTTAAATAAACAACATAATTAACATTGGAAAGTGAACTGGACACCGGTACAGTGTGATATATAAATTTGCTTGCCCAACAGAAAAAAACACTGGACTCGGACTTCGGGCAATGGGTTATTTCCACCCCTGGGTCATAGGATAACTATAACGTTGACAGAACTGGTTTAGGTTATTGGGCTCATACTAATTTCCATCCCTGAAATATCACCTCATATATCACTATGAATGCCCATTTAGAGGATAATTATAGGTCTATGAGAAATACGGATTATCTGTGCATGTGTTGGCCTGAGCCTGTTACAAGGGATGTGTGAGTACTTGTTTTAGTCTGATCATTAATTTGATGATTTGTCTATGGCATCATTGTCTTAGTTATTAACATGATAATGTCAGGAACATCTTCCACTTAGTGTGATCCTCCCTTGATAAGCATGAAATATTCAAACTGGAAAATGTTCATATTCGTATTCTTTGCTTAAACAACATTTTATGTGTGAAAAGTATTTAACAGTTGTAAATATAAGGAAATTAAGAGTGTCGTTATCGCAGTTTTGATGTGGTTACTATGATTTAATGTATTTTAAAGAATATGTCACGCTACTGAGAACCAATCCTGCAAAATGAAATTACTGAAGATGAATACCATGTCCTTCTAATTTGTCCACAGTATGAAGATCTAAGGAGCTATTATATACCATCTAAGTATACGTCCTGTCCCACATTTTACAAATTCTGCCGAAAGTGTACAGCTACTTCAGAATATTGCCATGTTTATACACCGTGCACTGTTAAAACGCAAACGTGCTTGTACCACTCACCCATTATAACTGTTTTTACGGGTACTACAGGCTTCTGGCCTACAGTTCAGAAATAAACAAGAAGAATGGAAGAATGATAAGCATGTTTGCCTTGGTATAAAATTATTAAAACTTGGATATGTTTTTAAAATGATATGACTGAAATACTATTCAAAGCACTTTCTAATGTCATAATTTATTATTGTAGGTTACATGATCCATGAATCAGGAGTTTGGAGTGAGATGCACAACCGTTGGTTCTTTCTGCCCCGCAGAGCGAGTAAGGAAAAATATGATGAAGTGTCTGACGAGAGACGAGCCACTAATATGTTGATCTCAGCTGACGAGAGCTTTCAAGAAATTAAAGTGACACGGATTGGACAAGAGAGTCCAACGCATGGGTTTTCCTCTTTCAAATTTGTTCCTGGTACTGACGACTTGGTTGTTGTAGCTCTGAAATCTGAAGAAGATAGAGGAAAAGTTGCATCATATATTTTAGTATTTAATATCTATGGTAAGATCTTACTACCAGAACAGATTATTGGTAATGTAAAATATGAAGGCATCGAGTTCATTTAATCATGTTAAAACATTCCACATATCGTATTGTTGCCAAGCTGTGATAGAATATGTATTATAGTGTACAGTCCTTGTGTGTGGAAGAGGCTGAAGCAGGTGAACAGGTGAATGGCTGTAATTTATATACTGAAATTTTATTTGTCATTTAGTTCTGGAACCATAATTCTTTCAAACATTTGATTCATTTTTGTTGTCTTTGGCATATATATGTGTATATAAGGTGCAATGTTGATAATGTTTGAAATGAATCAATGTCTATGTGGCCTTCAGTAACTGTTCTTTGTACTTAGTCATGTGATGGTTGTTTTGGTGAAGGTGGCCTTGTCCACCTCTCTACACCAGCATAGGGTGTATACAGAAAACTGGGCATGGCTTCCTCGTAACACCAGGAAAATGGCAACACAGGATTTCTCGGTGATGATCTCACTGAACAAGAAGTGGAGTGGAGTGTACACAAGTTCCTGCATTTCATGTAACAGTAGAGCAAAGAAATCTCTTTTTTGCATGCAACATAAGTTTAATATTTATTCATACGTCTGGTATCTAGGTAACAAACCCCTGAACAGTGAAACATTGAAGTATCAGAAGTTTTGTTCCACTAAACCTACATCAGTGCAGATATTAGGGCTTCAGTCTGGTGCAGCTTGGTGTGTTAGTGTCACATACTGTCTTCTCATGCCTCATATCTTACCCTTTGTCCTATGTTAATACCTGAGACCACGGTTTGGCCATAGGACTGGAGAGAGGAGGAAAAGGGCATGATAATACCCGGTAATAGCCTTCTATAACGATGAGACAGTATGTGAAACAAGTGCAGTATGTGAAACAAGTGCGATTAGGATGTTTTTGTCATGATTTAGTTACTTAACATTTGTGAATGAAAGGTATGACAGTATTTGCTACTTAATGATATCAGTGTGTAGTAAAATAAATGAGTACATGTAATTCCTAGTTGCTGAGAGTGACGCACCACTGTATGGGGATTGTTGGAGAGTAGTGTGTCTCTTTGACAGGCAGACTAAGTTAGAGGATATGTAAACCCATCCTGGAGGCTTCTGTATGTAACCTTAACTTTGACAAAAAACTGATTTAAATACTGATAAAATCTGTTTTAGATTATACTATTAAGCATATGTTTTAACTAGATTGGAATTCTTCCAATCACAGTGCAGTGGTCTTCTGTTTGAGGCAAGGGATGTCAAACCTCATAACCTGTTGGAGAGTAGTCACGCTCTTAACTGACAGAAACACTGAGTTTTAGGATGAATTAATTTTTAATAATGGAATCTTTGAAACAGGATAATTGTAAGAATCTTCAAACTTATAGTCCATATCGTTGTTTCAAGTTATTCTGTAGACTACTTTGGAGTAGTTTTGAGGAGTATTGCTCCTTTGGATAATGAGTGTCAAATCAGATTCAGACGTGAAACATCCTTTACTGCCGACTATTGTTTCAGCTTAGTCCTGATTCACCAGTGTATCAATGTATCTTCAATTCACACCTGATAACAAAGTACATGACATGCCTACGCATGTGTCTATTTCTGGTTGAGTTCAGAATATGTTTGTACATTGTTAACACACGTATTAAGTACTCAGACTAGCATTTGCTGTCAGTCGCCACTGACCGCAATCAAAATTCAAAATCTCATAGCATAATACCATAGTATACGGGCAGGCCAAAGATTCAGCAGCCATGCGAGTTGAACATAAAATGGTTGATTGCATGTTGTTGACATTGATTCAAAATTTCCTGCCTTAATTAGGCATTGATATACATAATGTATTATGATGTAAGGATTGTGAAATGTATTGATGCATGAGGTGGGCATATTGTGACACCCCTAAGATGATTAAGGCTTTCAGAGCTTGCATTCATGCTTATGTGAAAATAGGACTGGCTGTCCATATAGATCATAGGAGATCAAGAATTAACTAGATACTGAAAAATATCAGAGAGGCAACTTTGAGCAAAACTGACAAAAACAGTTCGAAAGAAATTAACACATCACTAGTGGGTGGAGGTACATTTGTGCATTGATTACTTCCCAAAACAGCATTTTGTGAACATAATTTAGAAGAAATCCAAAAATAAGAAAGGTAATTTTGTGTATTGTTTGAGTAAGTTGAAACTATGTCATCACTATAGTTTATGTCAGTTATTCAGGTATTATCGCTGACCCAATTTTCATATCAATAATCATTAATAAGCCTTCCCATCAACAGTATGTTTTCTGGTTATCAGTTTTCTAGCCAGGCCTACATGATCCTTGATCTGGAATTTCCCGGAATAATGAATCTGATTGGCTGAGTGGTGTGTATGTCCGAGGTATTTATTGCGCTTTGCTTTTTGTTTCTTTATCATGTCTTCTTGAACATGCTTGTATTTGGTTGAATCATGTCGATTACTTTGTGCTCTGTGTGAATGTGAATGTCTTTCATAATCATGCACAGTTGGGTTCTTGATAGAGAATAGAAACATTAGAGCTTCTTTATAGTGGGGCAAATGTACATAGGTTTGTCAAACAGGGTTGACAGTTAGTCTGAGGGATTAATTTCATTTCTTATTTTTTTCACTTGTCCGCTAGAATGATCAGCTAGAGAGTTGCCATACTTCATTTAGTGATAAAAGTGGTAGTCCACCAAATGTCACTTGTCTCTCCTGAACTTTACAACCTTGCTTGCAGATGAATTTGAATTGCACGGTCTTAATTGAATTGAGCGGGGACAACTGTAGTATTTTGTTTGTTAAAATTTTAGCTTGACAAAAAAAATCTAGTTTGAGTTTAAACCTGGGTGATGTATATACCTTAAGTAATAATACAAAAACTTGTTATTCCAATTTTATTTTTCCAGAAAGAATCTTTACAGGAAGTTAACTCTATACCAAACCTAATGATTTTCTCTTTTGTTATTTGCTTGCTTTATTTGAGCATATTGATAAGGTAAACTCGTACAATGAGAATTATTATGGTCAACATGGTCAAAGTTCTGGGCATCCATGAAACAGAAGGCTTCACAAAACAGTGGTAGCCCTGTGATTAATGCATTTGGTCATCGCCCAGAAAACCCAGTACCCATGATTCCAATTCTGATTCGCCACAAGGGTGCAATGTGTGAAGCCCATTCCTGGTGGCTCCTGACATGATATTGCTTGAATATTGCTAAAAGGTGGCATAAAATGTTACTCACTAATAAACTCACTTTAATAAATTAATTGTGCAAATGCATAAAATATATGATCATATATGGTATGTATTTCTCCGCTGGAGTACTGGTAATAGAATAGGAATGAGTGAATTTACAACTCAGCTGGACATTGTCCGATACTCATTAAGATCATACCTTGATACTTTTTTGTTTTGTATACAACAAATTTATTATTTTTGTTTTATAATGACATGCAGTGTAACTGTTATCATTCCGATTTTGACAAGACACATATAAAAAAATTGTTTATACATTTCATTTTTAATTAAAGAGATTTTGATAGACTTATGTAGAACCAGAAACTACAAAAATAAATGTTAATGTTTATTCAGAAAATGTTTAATTACGGTTTGTTGGTGTAGTTCCAGTATCAAGTCTGGGAAATATTTGCCAGCCTGTGTTTGAGAAACCGATGTTGCTTGTGTGAAGGAACCTCATATTTTTCTGTTTGATTTGTCAGGACAATCTTGTATACATAATTTTGGACAACTAAATCAGTTGAAGGCCACAAAATCTTTGACGCTTCTGAGTGGGAGCAGTGAAAAAATGATAAACATCAGAGAGACTGTTGGTAGGGGACACTCACACCTGAATACACAGTGCCATTCAAAAAGTGATCATGTGTAACACATGATACATTTGGGATTACACTTTCTCAGTGAAGTACTGCCAATTTACACTTGTCAGAGGTCTACACAAAGTAGGTGATTTAGACTATCAGTTGTCAGGCTTCCTATTTTGCAGAAACTGCAGTTGCAGAGTGAGGGTTTATTGTTTTAGATCGCTAAATTTATGCCCTGTTGATAAGGTGCCTGACTCTGAGAGTGTGGGTTCAAATGCTGGATGGGACTCAACCAGATTCTCGTCAGTAGTCTACTAGAATCAGTACTGATGAAGTGTAATCCCAATATGATATATGGCATCCACACAGCCAAAACCCCCACACATCAGTTTGTCACAACAGTGTTTAACTGGATGAGAAAGGCAGAATGAAACTACTATTTTGGTGACTAATCTTCAAGTGATGTTTTAACGGTAAAGTCTGTTTTGGTTCAAATGAGAAGCGGCTGATGGAACAGCTGGCATGCACTTCAGGTGCAACTCAGCACAGCCAGGTGAGATGATCCCTACTAGTCAGGAAACAGCCGGCGCTGTTCCACCAGCAGTTTGTCACCCCCCCCGGAAAGCATGAAAATAGGACAATATTACATGATGGTTTCTTAAACAACTTTTTCCGTGATCGATCATAAAACGTCCGATTTCAGATCCTGTTGGGTACAGAGGTTTCAGGACCATGTGTCTTATTTATGTTTTGTGCACTTATCCCTATTTCGAGTTATTTAATCATTCATCGTTCTCATTTGAACCCAAACGGACTATAAACTGTAAACTGTCATACTCATTGTTCCAGCCCCACTGTGCAGGTTGTTGGTACTAAACCCACTTGTGTTGTGATGGTTGAAGAGTAAATCATCAAGTTTCTGGGGTGTATTCAACATTACACATAAAGTTCTGCTATGTGACATAATAGAATGAACAGTGTATTGGCGGATGCGGCTGGTAAGGCATGGGAACAGTAGCTTATACCCCACTCTGGATGACAAAACATTAAATATTGTTAATGTCACCATATTTAATGTGATTGATTTAAACATATACTTGTGAAAATTGGCAAATTCAGCTTATAAGGTATGGGTACAGTAACTTATACCCCATTCTGGAAGACAAAACATTTGTAATGTGATGTTTTCATATCACAGCTTACAAATGTAATTGAAAGAAATGAATGTTTTACAGAAAATGTCCTCAATCTTATTTCCAAATGCTGCTGCTTTCTTTCAGCCCTGCACAAGACAACTAAGAAATCCTCCTGACTCTCAAAGGAAAATTAATATAAATTGTGTGAAATATTTTTCGTAAATAACATTAAATAGAGGTTTAAACATTGTGAAAAGGAGAGATTTAGGGCAAATAAATTCATGGCAACAAAATTGGGAGTGTAGTGTAGGAAACATTGCATAGTTTTTCTTCCCCTACTCTTCAAAGTTTAGTGATAATCCCCAAAAGGTTCCACATGGCTCTGTGTTTAAAGTGATGTATTACAGTTTCAATAGAATTCTCCTGCATGTTCATTGAGGAGATTACTATTAAAATGGTTTGGGGCTATCTTCAAACAGCTTTTAGCTAGTTTAATGTTTTGAACCACATTTACTTAACAGTATTTATATATTTTTATTGTGTTTACAAATGTCGAGTCTGTCCTTGTGACCAGTCATTAAGTCATCACATCCTTAGTCCCAGCTGGTTTGGTTCCTTGCTTCCTGTATTCACTTTGGGGAGTATGGTATGAATCTATCATAGTGCTGATGTAACAATCATGAATAGTTTTCTGAATAGTGAAAGGATAACAAATATTTGTGTCTGTGACCATGACGACATCTAACATTGTTGGGCCTCATCTTCATCCAGTATTGAAATAGACAGCTTTCCAATATGTTAAATGAATGTATGACAGTTTTGTTCAATTGAAAGAAGAACCACTTGGTAAGGCTTATGTTCTGTGATACTCCATGTTCCTATTCCCAGGATGATGACAACTCTGAATTGTTCCTAAGTGTAACATGTAGATGTTTCCAGGGTATACCTCGATTCTGACCTTCATTTATCAGCACCAGTGTTACATAGTGTTAAGAAAGTGGTAAATGTCGGGACACTGAATCACTCAAAATGGACACTTATGCAGTGTTACCCAGCTCACTCACTAATGACGTCTAATCATGGGGTGACCTCTTCTTGCATGTAATACCTTTACTACTAACCATATCCTAGATTTTCTAAACTCTCTTAACGCTAAGATAGTCGTAAGTTAATGTTAATGTATGGCACTTATGACTATCTTAGGGCTAAGAGAGCTTAAAAAATATAGGCCCAGAGCCTAGATTTTTCAAGCTCTCTTAGCGCTAAGATGGTCGTAAGTTAATGTTAGTGTTTGGCACTTTCGATCATCTTAGCCCTAAGAGAGCTTCGAAAATCTAGGCCCAGGGGTTTAGGCTTTAGGACTGGGGACATTTACTAAGCCAGTATTTCCTGGCTAAGTTCTTCAGTGAATACATCATGGGATGCTGTCTTGCTAATCATTGTGCATTTGTAGGATCATAGTCATTAATGTGGGGCACAAAGCATCAGTCGACAAGAGGTAGATGAAAAGTTTGACCTGAACTGCAAAGGATGTATTGTACACCCTAGCAGTTTGTGTATAAGAAACAATACTTTTCAGGCTTACAGGCTGCATTTGAACCAAATAGGCAGCATATATCTGCTGCAACTTCAGCAACCATCCATGCCAACTTTAAAGATCAGAAAGACCTTCAAGACCAGATTATGTTGTTAAAGTATATGATATGATTCTGGGTAATGCTGAGTGTGCCTCTCATGAGGCTTCAGAACATTCACATGAATGATCTTGGCATGACAAAGGTTTCAGCACACTGGGTCCAAGTGTTTAATGTCTGGTAAGGGACTCTTCAGGTTCACCATCTCTCATGAGATTCCAAGCAAATCCTACTGATGAAATACTACCTGAAAAGTAGGACCTTTAATGGCCTATCGTGTGCAAATATACTCAGGCAACGGCATGAGAATACCAAGGATAAACATTGTGTAAAATTCACTAAAGGACCACCACAGCGCATTGCTGCAATGCATATTTCTCAATGATGGTTGGTATTTTTCTATACAGTGAACTATATTTATAAGGAACCAATATTTCGGTCCCTCCCACATGCTTTCAGTTGAAATGCATATAACAAACTACTGTTATAACAAGTTAAATGAGTGGTTTGAGTTTGTTATAACCAAAGATTACTGTATAAAGCTTACAATTGATTTTTAAATAGTTTTCAGTCAATGATCTGTTAGATTATCTTTTGTATTTTGACAGTTAGTACCACATGGCTCACATTGTGTTTGGCAAGCTTGAGAGATGCTTCTTTATAATAGTTTGAATCATGTTCTCTAATCTCCTGTATAATGTTACACAGTTGCAGCTTTGGCAACCATTTTATAAATTATTATGGATTTATTCATCTTATGAAGTTTAAAGTGAGAAACCTATTGTCCACTAGAACATTGTTCTCATAGATCCTTCTTTACTCAAAAGGTATATATATGAATGCCATGGGAACTGTTCATCAAAAAACAGGATTCAGTTATGTGGGAATGAGGCAGTTCGTATTCCCCATTTATATAATAAACGAAAAGTCAAAAGAATTATGTCTGGACATTTAATGCACCAAAACTGAAACAAAACAGTAAACTCAATGAAACATCCCCCACACTGTACATTCACCAAAAGTGTGAATGATAACTTAGCTTCTATGAATGTCTTCCCGATAATGGAAGCTATTTCTAAATAATAACTTCAAACCCCCTGTCTGGAGCTCTGTATGGACGTCTTTGTCCCTCAACAATATGTTAAAACTGATTAACGCTGTCGTCCGCTATAACCACGAAATGCACGAGATTTTAAAACCCACGTGCATATACGCATAGCGATGGGTGTATTCAGGCGCGCTGACCCAAGCTAAAAACAAAAACATGTATTTCCTTCTGTTCATACCCCTCTCCTTGACAGACTCCTTCTGTTCAGTTATGATTGGACCTTCTTTAAAGCCGCAATGTAACACATTTTCGACACTATTTGGGTCTATATTATATATATTTGGGAATATGCACTCACTTTAGCTTCCTATTGATGGAATAAAGACTTAGTATCCCTTACAACTTGCCTGAAATTGATAATTGAAACTTCGAGGTGAACAGCTTCCAAACAGAACACTTGTCATACATGTACATGGAATGTAAACAATTGCTCCGTACATCGAAAACTGTCTCATGCGGTGTTTGCCGAATTAGTTTCAATCACAAGTTGTCAGTAGGATATTCGTAAAGATTGCTCCAAGGGAGATATCTCTATTGGGTTCGCTTAAAATAATGTTTGGCCGGAAGAGGGCACGAGAATCGATTTTAGTGCAACGTTGCATTAATTCATTCAAACGTTTTAATTTAATATTGTAGTCTAAAGATGTAATTTTATATTGCAGCTTCCCTGAGGCCTGATAGTTAGTATTATTAAGAGAATAGTATTATTTATTTTTAGAGAAGTGTGGTGTGATATAGTGCCTTTAAGTAGGTCATGAAACATAACAGAATAATATGACAAGTGGAGAAAAATCACATCACGCAAAATCATGTGCAACCTATATGTATTATATATGCTACTTTTATGGATTAATGTCCTGCCTGTTTGATTGGTCATGTACTGTTTCAGAAAGAGCAAATGTGGACTGTATACAACCTTGAGAAATCCTGGCACAAAGTTTCTTTACCATGACATTACTCCACAAAACTTACTGCGCAGTTGTGTCCCTTTGCTGCTATGATTCAATAGTCTGTTGAATCCCAAGATTCACTCTTACTGTAGTGTTGTGTGTGTTGTTCCACGGCTACATCATGTTTCCCATCAGTCTGAATTCCTGTCTATGACATCCTGCCATTAGACAGCATTAAGCAGCATGACCCCAGTTCGCTCCTGCTCACTTCTCTACTGAAATGTGGAATCATGCTTTTTATATTTGTTGCAAATGTTTTTGTTGATGAAATCCAGCATATTTATTTTTCAGCTGAATCTGAAACAGTTTTGTCTCAAGGTACACATTCTGAAATATTGATGGCAGTTTTCAATGTCAGTTCTAATATATAGTATAAAATATTATAGTTAGAAATATACTGCTTTCCCAGTGTGGTGTTGTTGATGAGGGAAACAAGATTTGTTTAAGACTAAGCAGTTCAATATCAGTTGAGGAAAGACCAATTTCATTCCTCGTTTGAGACACGTTTCATTGATCAGTGTCAAAATCTTAATGGTGTTTTAAAATATAAACATAACAATTTCAGTGTTGGCTTATACAAATACAGGATTTATGTATAATATTGTTAATCATGTTGCAAAATCTAGCTCCGTCGTGTCTGTAAACCTTGACATAATTGGTCTGGCCTTGACTGACACTGTCATTCATTCTCACTAGTTTTGTGGTATTAGTGCCATCACATTTTGATCATGTCTTCTAATGCCTTTATGGCAGAAAATTAAGCAACATATAGCATTTATTTCACTGGGAGACAGAATTCACATAGAAAACAAATTTGCCTATACTGCTGATATATTTAGAATTCAACATAACAAAGTGCTGATGTGTAAAACAGATGTCCATGACTTAGTGTTGTATCTGTTTTAGAAACCATGTTACATAAATCATACTTTTGTCAGTCTTCCTTCTTCAAACCTTTATGCTCATATCTCATTTTGTACTGGCTGTATATTTCCTGGAGTATTTATGCAAAGAAAATGTTCCATTGTGCCAACACATTTGTAATTGTTGGGGCAATGATGGCTGCCATAAGGTTTATGTTCTATGTTTAGAGCTGTATGAAATTCATGTTGCTATCATTTTAGTTGTAGGGTGATGTGTGACGAATGATCAGAATAAACATATTAACAACTGTATTGCGTATTGTCTTTCCATGCATCCTGTTTGACGAATAGTCGGCACTCTCTCTTCAAGCTGAATGTCCTGCAAGGTTTGTTTGTCAGCTCCTTACCCTTGCTTGTGGGTTTCATGAAGGGGGAATGCGAGGCACTCAATTTGGTGAGCAGATTTGCATTCCTCTGGCACTCTGGTTTCTGGAACTGTCAGCTTGATACCTGTGCCACTTCAGACTAGCTTCCGGGGCGGTGGGGTAGGCTTGTGGTTAAAGCGTTGGCACTGAACGCCAAACACCCAAGTTCGCCACAATATTGCTAAAAGCGGTATAAGACATACTCTCTCAATTCTTGTTTCCCAAATTGAGCATACAGATGATTTAACTGGAATAGTAATAAATACAGCCTTGTACCCAAACATGCTCATGAAGTGCAAGCATGACTTTGGAAGTCCTTCCACAAGAAGCTGACACTTTGATAATGTTGTAGAAGTCCCGTCTTCAGACAATTCTGACAGCATGTATTGCAGTGAATGAATTCATATCATAGTGTCAGCTATTGAGGAAAGCCTCAAGTGACCAAGGTTGAAGCATTACTTTGATCAAATCCACAACCTCAGGTGTGGTGCCAGCTACTGACAATAAGCAAGGAATCTGAGGTTTAATCAGAAGACCCGGGTTCGATTCCCCACATGGGTTCAATGTGAAGCCCATTTCCGGTGTCCCCCCTGATGTGATATTGCTGGAATATTGCTTAAAGCAGGGTAAAACTAAGCTTACTCGCTCTGTGATTCCAAGAAAAGGTTTCCATGCAACAGCTGTACATAAACATTGTGCTCCCACAACCAACTTAAAAACAAAACTACACACTTCAAACGTGTGTGGACATTCTTTATTCATGATTAATTAAAAATGCTTATAACACTCTTTCAGTAGATTGAGAAGCATTCCATTACATAAACGCCAGTGTCAAAGAATCGAACTGGCTCCAAGTTTCATGGCAAAACATGGCCTTGGTTGGCACCATTGGAAAGCCATGACCTGACTGTTGAAAACTGTTCCAGCTTGAGTCCCAATGACCACATTTTGGTAATATCGCTCTGTAGTTAACAATGGGGACATCAGCAAGTTCCCAGTATTGGAGTGTACTGGCCAAGGAATAACAGCTCACCAGGAACTCCATCAGGTCAAAGTCAGCAACAGTAAGCAACATTTTGCCAAAAATTAGTCTATTACAGCATAATGGAAAGACAACAGTTTGTAAATGTTTTGTTTCACATGTCACACACAGAATCATACACCCAATGTTAAATAAAATATAATAGATTTGATGATCGTCTCAGTGTCCACTCCAGAAACAAGTTTGCAAATACAAACATCTACAGTTTAACACCAGTAATGCTCATTTCAAGAAAGGGAATATATATTGTTCTTGTAAACTGTCCAGTCATCCCACAATATTGGTCTACCTTTTCTTTTAAACAGCTAAAGTTTCAGGTGAACATGGACCACAGCTCACCTGTTCTTGGGTGGACACTGAAGTGAACGTGCAGATAGTGACAATTACTTCACAATCTGGGCTCAGGGCCTCATATACATAGTAATACTTATAAAATGAATGATGCAACTTTTACACTGTCTCCCTTCTTGAATGATGGAATTCACTCAATGTGAGCTATTGCCATATTTACTATGCAGAATGTACAAAGCTTCAAAACAAAACAACCAACACCGTTTGAACGTGGCATTCAGTAGGCAACCTTATGATATTTTTGCAAAGAAAGTGTTAAGTGGTACAGGAATACAGATAAAGAAATAGCCACTTCAATTTTGGCATTTGTGTCTAATTACCCAACACTGCCTGGTAGTGGTGCCAGTAATAAAAGGGCTGACTAGAGGAAATTAATGCACTGAAGTTGAAATAGTGTTAAATGAAAACACTAAGAATGGTGACCATGTCTTTCAACACCAAACAACTTACAATTTTTGCTTCCAAACACAACCATTTTCAAATATCATTGAATAATAAGCACTTCCTAACATCCCTGAGAGCTAATTGATATCTATTGTTAGAATGTTAATAGGTAAATGGTGCTGAAGATGCCAGTTTGCCTTTATTACTTTTCTAATCATTAGTAGAATGCTTGTTACATGACATGAAACTATTTGATATAATTTCACATAAAAATATTAAGCTTCAGCAAAACCAATAAATATTTTATGACCACATTTTATGTCAATGTAACAGCAAATTGGTCAACAAATATATCTCAGTATGACAGGAGATCTTTTGGCATGGACAGAGTACTTAGTCTGATCCAATTCTTAGTTGTATGAAGGTAACAGAGCACTTGAAATATTTTGGAGCTATATTGCTTAACATAATGCTGAGTTTTACTTCATAAGGTACTATGACTATGTGCCAGAGATAAATCTTCACAATAGCTCATTACAATAATTCAGGACACCACAAAACTCACCAGACAAGTACCATCCATGCACTATAAATATGGTTTTGATGAAGTTTCATGCAACAAATTACCTTTGCAACAAACCTTACTAATGTTCTGTCCAATGCAATGTATTTATTCTTTTTACATGGAGATTTCACCTACTTTAACAAAGCAGGAAAAAACGTAATATTGGTGCCACTTTGTACCAGGTTTTGTAAAAAACAACAACCCCAAAATAACCCCTAAAGGTTCCAAACATGGCACCAGAACAAGCATGAATAAATGATTAACATACAGTTAGCCACTTCAAAAACTGGACAGTTGTTATAGAAGATATATGTATATCTGGTCTACATCAGGAGGCAGCAAATCTACAGCACATGGTTTAAGAAAAACTCAAAGCCACGTTTGTTCATGGAAATTCTTTTAATTTGCAAAGTTTTCTATTTACACTTGCATTTGTAAGCTAACTGGAATTTCTTTTTTCGTTTCAGGAAGAGGTTTGACACATAGCCCTGTGAATGTAAATCAAGAAAACCCATGGGGCTTGTAAAATCAAATGGGGTATGTCTCTTATGTACATTTTATCACTTGCTTCCCATTCTGTGAAACTCCCACACCTTAAAATGGTCATGTATCACTGTGCAGGTCTAAACTCTGCTGTTCAAAAGGATTGACGGGATCTAAAACCAAATTTCAACAGGTCATTTTCTCTGCTGCTGATGCAATCACAGATTACTTTAGAATAATATCTCAAAACCATCACCATAAATAAAACATCAATCACTGATTTCAACACAACAGTTGTCATTCTGTTATGCCACATTTAGGCTGTCAAGATCTGTTTTAGGAAACTTACATTTCTCAGATTTCACCTAGATCAAATCAACAGAAAAATAACGGCACAGGAATGTCCTTGAACAAACAGCGGCATGTGACCACCAAATCCTCATATCTACTTGTTAGAATAATAAACAAAATTGTAACAACTGTGCACTATCATAGACGATCTAGTATGCTCTTAGTGTACATATTTTACAGGGCACAAAGAAAACAGCATCAACAGAATCATTATGTACAAGTAGGACTTCTTAAAACAGATTGCAAAAATATATTTTGATTGTACACTTTGTGTGTATCCTTCAGTAGTCAGTCTTTTGCTGTAGTGAAGAACTGTATAATATCATACAGTCAGATCTCAAAACACATCTGCATCCAACTGTCCCTGGTTCCGTTAGAGATGGTCGACCAAGCTTGCTCATCTGCTTCAGAAAGATTAAGTTGAAACTGTCAATTGATCAACATCGAGACAGATGTTGAAGATGTCACTGTTTTATCAAGTTGCAGTTTATGGACACGCCTCTGCGATTTTGTACAGCAGACATAAAAATGCATGTATTTCACAGACAACAAATAACCTTGATCATCCATGTGACATAAACTTTGGAGTATACTGCAAATACTAAGCTGAGCCAGTCGGGGAACCAAAGTGATGAGGAAGCAATCCAATTATAGCACAAATTAGCTCAAGAAGTCACAATGGCAGGCCTAGGAGCAGGCTCGGATAGAGAAAGACACGCTTGACATTTCAATGAAACATGTTGCATAATGCAGTGGAGTGTCAGTCTTTGTTTTGGTCACCAATCTCATGGAATATGTCTGGTGTCCATGGAAACAACTTATTCTCTGATTTTGAGCACCTTTCCAATAGCAATTGTTTTTCCTGAAACAAAAGCAATATAAAGGTTATTTTTCATGGATGAATGAACATGTCTCAGGAAAATTTATATCATAACAAGTTAATGAAAGTCTGTTGCTCTACACCCTACTCCAACAGTGTGCAAACAATCACGTGTATTTATAGTCTATTTTTCAGGCTACACCTGTATCTGTTAAAATTCAGCTGTATGACAAGCGTCCATATTTCAGCCATTCATAATTGTGCTAAATAAAACGAGCTTTGCACAATGTCACCACATACCTTCATCTCTTAGTGTAAATCTTCCCATTTGTGGAAAATCTTTGAAAGACTCTAAGCAAATCATTCCACCATTAACCTCAAATCGAGCAATACCAACTTGGTCCTGCTTGATGTAGCGTGGTTTGATTTGAGTCTTTTCTCCTGACTTCTTGTCCAAAAGACAGATCAGTGACTGAAAAAACATCAACATAAACATATACTCCTCACAAAAAGTTAAGCAACATTCATGCCACACATTTTGCATATTGTTTCTGAGGATGGATGTGTTCGGGTGATGTTGTCAATGTTATCAGATAAATCAATTTGACAGTCACTAAAGGTTATGTATTCTTTGAATATTTACCTTTCAGTAACATGTCAGCACAAATCGCACAAATCATATCGAGATTGATAAAGATATATCACTGAAAATACTTTTTGCTTAATTTTTGGTGAGGAGTATATAAAACATGCCCCGAACAAGAGAACATGCCAGCTGATCTACATTAGAATATTTTGGACCTCTTATCAACATTTTACATGAAAATAACATAACTCTGCTTAACACTGCAACATGAGATCACTGAAAATACTTGTTGCTATGAATCAAACTGAACAAGAGAACATGCCATGATAGGTTTGAATTGTCCTTCATAACCTGCACAATGGGGTATTTATCAACAAAAACAATAAGACATGTAATATTCTATGTTATGTCGCCTTACTTTAATGGTGACCTCCTCTGACGCTGAATGGATGTGTAAAACACAGCTGTAGCCTGCACACACAATTGACTTGAGTTCCAGCATCACAATCTGAAACGGCAAATCTTACATCAGACTAATCATCAAACAATGTTATCACATTTGATGAAAATAGTAGTGGCTGGAGAGTCAGTTGGGTTTTGAAGGGATATCTGTAACATCATGGCATGTAAGCACTATGAAGTGTATTTATTTCACCATTTAGATGACATTTCAGGTTGCCTCAGTCTGATTATCAGTAAACATGCCTCCTGCACAAATGCAGCTTGTGAAAAGAGTACAGTAAATAAATCAACCTGAACCTAATAAAAATGACACAGATTTTATGTCATGTACATCAACCATTGCCTCAGTCTGACGTGCGTTTTCAACACCATGTGTTGTCTGACAGGGATAACAGTCCTCACTGGCAAATCATGGCGACATTCTTATAATCTACCTGGACCTGGGAGAGAAATGAACTTACCTGAGCATCAAATATCCGTCCTGTATGACATGGACTGTCAGGTGGACATAAGACAAAGCCAGGTGACACATCCTGCAATATTAACAGTGCAACATGTTTAAAGGAGTTTTGTTAGAAAATGTCCCTTATAGACACTCTGTATTGAGAAATCAATTCATTGGTCTGTAATTGAATTGAACTTACTCTCATGCTGTTGCAATCAATTCACTAATTTGTCAACAAACTTATGTTATGCACGTCACCAAGAAGTCTGGAGTAGCACACTGTGTGCAGCAGTAGATACCACTGGTCTTGTAAATTCCATTTCCCCATTGAAAGTACATGACATGGTCTGGGAGACAAACAGTAATCTCTAACAGTCTTAGCATGCATATCATCTGAAACTAGATGTCAACATTTTGCCTCAGTAAACCTATTTGTCACCAGCCTTAATCTGACAGGGATAACTTTCATCATCATTGGCAAAGTGACACCTTAGACAACCCACATATGAATCCACAGCAAAACACATGAACCTCATATTGGCAAAGTTGGTTAAATATTTGCAAAAGGATAAATTTATGCGCTAATATTACATTGATGAAAATAATCCTGTTTGAGTTGGCAATAAATGCACTCAATGTGGGGAAATGTACAAGCTTCTTTTTCCAAACCTCACTTTACACTTCAAATATTAATAATATGTACACTTGCGTTACCTTGATTCGTGGATGTAAGCCATTAGCGGCGCATAACTCGGTAAATATTTTAATTTCAATGTTCATAATAAATAATAGGTAAGTAAATGTTATAAGTAATCTGTTATGGCCAGAGTTTCGATTTGTAGCAGATTAGTTTGTGTTCCGCGGCCATTTGCAAGCGTCGTCTATTTCAGTGCACAAACAACGTGACGTCACCTTTATTCATGGACTACGTAAGAGAGCAATGTATGGAAGCCCAGTGTCCAACTACTTGCGAATAAAGGGTTTTACTCACCAAGCTTTCATCCGGATTTGTAGCAGACGTAATAAATCACAGTTCATAGTTAAAATTCCATATCATTCGTATTTCAGGATTCCAATGAAAATTGTCAACAAGACAAAGTCATCAATATCCCCCGGAATGGCAAAATACTCTTCATGAATATGTCTACGAGTTATGATTATGTCAAATGTTTTGGCGTGTATATAGCTAAGTGGAAGGAGAGTACTGAAAGGTTTCAAAGTTCTGCTCCAGAAAGGAGCACTACCACCAAATTCAGTTGAAGCCAAAATTGTCGCCATGGAAATGCAAAAAACCCCATTTTATTCAGAAATCCAAAACTAGCAAAAGGCACCAGTTCACCACTAGACCTACCTATGTATGAAATTTCGTGATGAAACAGTGAATAGTTTTTAAGTTCTGCCCCGGGAAAGAGCACTACCACCAATTTCAGTCCATTTTAATACCCCCCGCAAAACGCGTTGTGGGGGATAACAAGCAGATGGCCAAACAGTAATATGTTGGCGCTTGTCGTATCTTTGTAATTTGATTTACGGTAAGATGGATTTGAAATTTTGTATTAGTGATCTCGGATATATTGACAGTAAGCATGACCATAAATGTGACTGTGTAGTCGAGCGATTCTGAACATTTTTTGTCAGCGAAGCGTGTGAGGTGTGCACATCAAAAGTACTGCAATGTGACGTCATACGAGATTTCGGTGTCGAGATTTCGCGGAACTAACGAGCATCCACGAATCAAGGTAATCCACGAAATTAGGCAACGCGTGTGTACATATCTAGTATGTGTAATCTAATGCCATGTATACAATTCAACAACATATTAACAAATGTTCACATAAAATCAGGGTTAGATATGGTTATTAAAATAAGAAGCTACAATATCTCTCTACCTACTTCACGTTATGTCAGTGTAGATGGCAGGTCCTTTAGTACAAGTCCCTTCCATGTCTACATAACAATTTTAGTTTTCACAAAATGCTGTTCTTTATTTTTTAAACCACCTGAGATGGAGCTTTATTTCGAAAAATCTATTTGCCTCAGTTTATTTTTGTCACCAGTCTAGTCTGACAGGGATAACTTGCATCATCATTGGCAAAAACTCATTAAAGTATCAAGTTTATAGGCTTCAGGTGGAATACTTGTAACAAAGATATTTTCTCAAATCTTATGCAGGATTTATCACACAAAGATGTGATGATGGCTGAAAATATATATGTGAAAGTAACTTTGAAGTGACATGTTTTTCCCTATCACAAGCTTCACCCATTTATCCTGTAAGCAACCAAACTGTCTCATGAATTAACAGAGGAAAATCAAAACAAGTATTACTCATGACACCTGTCAAAGTCTTCAGCGCCATTTTCAGATTTCAATTTCAATTCTACATTTCTAGCCAGTTTCAACTGAACATATTCTTCACTGACTGATCTATTTTCTTTCCAAACATTGATAAGAATGGTTTTGTTTGATAATCGTCAACATTTTGCATGACTTTGGTGTGATAGAGATGAGCAGGGATATGATGGTGAGTAATCTAGAAACATACTCAGGACAAACTAATTCCATCCCTCTAATGTCTCTAAAGCGCCCAAGGAATGGATCTCTCCACTGTAAAGTAAATCGCGGTCATAGTGTATATGTTTATCCAAGTGCATTTCCTGTTACTCATTGCATTTAGTTAATAATACCCCCCCACCCCCACACAAAATATAATTTATTTTAATAAAATGGAAAATAAATTAAAAATCTTGTATTTGTACACTGACCTCTGGAAGGAGACAAATAGGAATAAAATTTCCAGGAATTCAAAGTTAAAGAGTGTCAAGTTAAAAGTAAAACCTAGTCCAAGGTGATAGACAAAATAATGTTATTTGCCTCAGATTCAGAATATCAACAGTGTATAATCTGACAGGGATAACTTACATCATCATAGGCAAATTTTGAATGTTGACTGTTGCGGTCAATTTGCTCTGAACAGGTAGTGGCAGCATGTCGAAGGTAATACCAGAAAACTGGTAAGACATGAGTCAGTACATGGTATAACACACAAGTATAAAGCCATGGAGGCCCCACTGCTCCTGTTATATGATTAGAAAATAGTTTTGTTTCTGCCAGAATACCATACCTCTTCTTCCACACCAGACAGCTTCAGTTTGACGTTTTCACCAGGCATTGCATCGTCAACATCATACTCATCTGACCAGATCTGCATTACCTTTACAGATTGCTGCAACACAAAGTTTCAAGATATGTTTATGCCAGCAGGATTCCATAAAATCGCATTATTCCTTAAATAGAAGGGGTATGGTTAATTTCACTGATCATGTTAGCAGATTGAAAGTCAGTATGGCCAACACTGTCTCAATAATAATTCATGTCAAGTATTTAAGGTTAATTTATAACATTAATGAGTTTTTCCTCCCTTATCCCCCACTTGGACATAAGGAACTATTTAAGGGTCAATACTATTTTGTTCAACTGTAATATTTAGAGCACCTTTTCACCTGTTACAGTAAATGTTGATAGATACATCATACTTAGAATATGTAAAACACTGAAACAATGTTATTTATTTAAAGAATCATCTGAGATGAAGCAAACGTATGCCAGAGGCCTCAACATGAACTATTTTTCATCAAAGAATCTTTCTCACCATATCAAGCACACAAGACTACATTGAAAACAGCTCCAAAAAATTACAGCTAAGGCCAGACCAATTTTATTTCTGGTTTTACGGATTTTTGTCCTCAGAAAACCTAAAGGCAGGAGGGAAAAAATATAAATAAAATCACCAGTCAAATTAATATTCCTTCTAAACACTCAAACTATTTTACTTTTGGCAATTTTGAAGTGTATATGGGTAAAAAAACAATCTAAAAAAACATTTTCTTGTTAGTTTAGAGCGGGGAAAATGAATTTTATTTTTTAAATTATTCTTGAAAAAATACGACAGACGGATCCTTAAAACAAGAAATAAAATTGGTCTGGCCTAATGGTAACTATGAGCACTAAACAAAAAGGGTTCAAATTTTAATATGGCTTAGTATTCATCAGAAATTCAATCCAGTTTTTCAGTGTCTGCTTCCACAAACCGTTTATCATACCATTTCATTGTAACAATTTATCATAATCTGTAATGCATCTGCCTCAGTCTGACGTGCCTTTTCAACACTGTGTTGTCTGACAGGGATAACAGTCCTCATTGGCAATGCTTGAGATAAACGACCTCACAAAATGTACTGAACAACATTAGAAACACACCACACTAAAATCCACCCACGATTCTCAGATATAATGGGTACATTTCAGTCTGACGGGGATATTTCGTATCATATGGGTGGTGCATTTCTAATGTTGTTCAGTATATATCACTAAAGGGCCATACACGACCTCATCTGCTGTGTTTAAGGACAAACAATACAATCACATAGCCAAGAAATCAACGGATTTGTATATTTTCACCAATATAAAACTGGAAGAAATGTTGAGATCATTATTTAGACTTTGTTACTAATTTTGAACTCTTTCAACAAAGTTTGCTGCCAAAGTAAGGTGCTAATAACATTCTTTAAAACAAAGCTTGAAACATTTGGCTGTTTGGTTTTAAAAGTTAATAAGGAATATGTTTTCCAAAACTGCAAATTAATACAAGACTAACAAGTGTTTGCCACTGATATGGCAATGTCCCCCGCCGCTAAAGAATGGAGCATCTATATTTACTATTTTTTATTTTTTGGTCACACACACGATGCCTGAAATGACTGGTGTCTGCATAATCACCCAATGTAGGCTGTCAACATAATTGAAAACATTGGGTGCAATGTTTTATGAGATATCGCGTTTAAATAAGTTTTAAATGTGGTCAAAGTGTTATGGTGACCTTGAAGATAAGGTCATGGTCACGTAAATCGACTGGTGTCTGCGTAATCCCCCAATGTAGGCTGACACCAAATTTGAAGACATTGGGTACAACAGTTCATGAGATATCGCGTTAACAAGAATCGGGACGTACGGACGGACGGATGCTGCTGAATACATAGTCCCCCGTTCCGCGCTGCAGCGGGGGGACAACAATAAATGAACGATACAGCCAAATGACAGACCATCCAAATAGACCTCCAGGATCTCCCAACTCTGGACAAGCTAATATATGGACAAATTGCTTGAAGACCTATATTGCCGATTGTAGACACAGTTAAGAATGCAATGCATGTATCAGTCTAATGTCTGATCAATATTCAATCCAGTACTCACAGTGTCTGCTTCCACAGACAGTTTATTATACATTTCATTGTAACAATTTATCATGATCTGTAATGCATCTGCCTCAGTCTGACGTGCCTTTTCAACACAGTGTTGTCTGACAGGGATAACAGTCCTCATTGGCAATGCTTGAGATAAACGACCTCACAAAATGTACTGAACAACATTAGAAAAACACCACACTAAAATCCACCCACGATTCTCAGATATAATGGGTACATTTCAGTCTGACGGGGATATTTCGTATCATATGGGTGGTGCATTTCTAATGTTGTTCAGTATATATCACTAAAGGGCCATACACGACCTCATCTGCTGTGTTTAAGGACAAACAATACAATCACATAGCCAAGAAATCAACGGATTTGTATATTTTCACCAATATAAAACTGGAAGAAATGTTGAGATCATTATTTAGACTTTGTTACTAATTTTGAACTCTTTCAACAAAGTTTGCTGCCAAAGTAAGGTGCTAATAACATTCTTTAAAACAAAGCTTGAAACATTTGGCTTTTTTGTTTAAAAAGTTAATAAGGAATATGTTTTCCAAAACTGCAAATTAATACAAGACCAATAAATGAATGACACAGCCAAATGACAGACCATCCAAATAGACCAAGACCTCCAACTCTGGATAATCCAATATATGGACAGAGGCCCAGATAAGCTGCGTATCCGGGTAAAATATGCATAGAATTACACATTGAAAAATATTTGTTGAGTACCAATTATGCATTTAAAATGTTAGATACGCAAAAAGTTTAAAACAAATGCGTACAGAATATATTTATAAAAATCGCTTGCGTAATGAAAAAGACATTGATTGCTATCAAGTTGTACTGTTAGTATAGGACAAGTGTTGTACTGTCAGTATAGGATGAGTGATTTTTTATGAAATAATTTCCATTATATTTAAGTTGGTTTTGATTAGGTATGACATAAGGCAGAATATACTGGCTTAGTAAACTTACTCAATGACGTAATACTTAGGTGAGTAAAGTGACTGAAATACGCACCTATTTGAAAGCAGTGGGTAACGGAAAATGAAATACCCACTCAACATTCATAATACCAACTCCAAAAATCAGTGGGTACAGTACCCACATGAGCTAAATCTTATCTGGAGCTCTGTATGGATGATTTGCTTGAAGACCTATATTGCCGATCGTAGATACAGTTAAGAATGCAATGCATGTATCAGTCTAATGTCTGATCAATATTCAATCCAGTTCTCACAGTGTCTGCTTCCACAGACAGTTTATCATACCATTTCATTGTAACAATTCATCATGATCTGTAATGCATCTGCCTCAGTCTGACGTGCGTTTTCAACACAGTTTTCAACAGGGTGTTGTCTGACAGGGATAACTGTCCTCATTGGCAATGCTTGAGATAAACGACCTCACAAAATATATCATTAAAGGGCCATACATAACCTCTTCTTCTGTGTTTAAGGACAAACAATACAATCACACATCTAAGAAATCAACGGATTTGTATATTTTCACCAACATAAAACTGTATGAAATGTTGAGATCATTATTTAGACTTTGTTACTAATTTTGAACTCTTTCAACAAAGTTTGCTGCCAAAGTAAGGTGCTAATAACATTCTTTAAAACAAAGCTTGAAACATTTGGCTGTTTGGTTTTAAAAGTTAATAAGGAATATGTTTTCCAAAACTGCAAATTAATACAAGACCAATAAATGAATGATACAGCCAAACGACAGACCATCCAAATAGACCTCCAACTCTGGATAATCCAATATATGGACAAATGGATGATTTGCTTGAAGACCTATATTGCCGATCGTAGATACAGTTAAGAATGCAATGCATGTATCAGTCTAATGTCTGATCAATATTCTATCCAGTTCTCACAGTGTCTGCTTCCACAGACAGTTTATCATACCATTTCATTGTAACAATTCATCATGATCTGTAATGCATCTGCCTCAGTCTGACGTGCGTTTTCAACAGGGTGTTGTCTGACAGGGATAACTGTCCTCATTGGCAATGCTTGAGATAAACGACCTCACAAAATATATCATTAAAGGGCCATACATGACCTCTTCTTCTGTGTTTAAGGACAAACAATACAATCACACATCTAAGAAATCAACGGATTTGTATATTTTCACCAACATAAAACTGTATGAAATGTTGAGATCATTATTTAGACTTTGTTACTAATTTTGAACTCTTTCAACAAAGTTTGCTGCCAAAGTAAGGTGCTAATAACATTCTTTAAAACAAAGCTTGAAACATTTGGCTGTTTGGTTTTAAAAGTTAATAAGGAATATGTTTTCCAAAACTGCAAATTAATACAAGACCAATAAATGAATGATACAGCCAAACGACAGACCATCCAAATAGACCTCCAACTCTGGATAATCCAATATATGGACAAATCGCTTGAAGACCTATATTGCCGATCGTAGATACAGTTAAGAATGCAATGCATGTATCAGTCTACTGTGGGTATCAATATTCTATCCAGTTCTCACAGTGTCTGCTTCCACAGACAGTTTATCATACCATTTCATTGTAACAATTCATCATGATCTGTAATGCATCTGCCTCAGTCTGACGTGCGTTTTCAACAGGGTGTTGTCTGACAGGGATAACTGTCCTCATTGGCAATGCTTGAGATAAACGACCTCACAAAATATATCATTAAAGGGCCATACATGACCTCTTCTTCTGTGTTTAAGGACAAACAATATGATCACACATCTAAGAAATCAATGGATCTGTATATTTTCACCAATGTAAAACTGGATGAAACGTTTATTATTATTATTTATTATTATTTAAACTTTGTAACTAATTTTGTAGTCTTTCAACAACAACGGTTCTGGCAACATATTCTGACCTTGTACCAAAAGGACACGCACAAAGACAATAAAGTACTACTGCAATACCTTATTTGGCATCATGGCTAATGTCATATTCTTTGTTATTGATCCAGATTCAATTTTGCCCAAGACGATGGTTCCCATGTCCCTGTATCTGTCTACTACTGGTAGCCGCAATGGGGCATCCATCGACCTGTCTAGCGATGGCATAGCATCTAGGTAGTCCAATAATGATGGCCCGCTGAAATTACACAAGTACAAACATATACTTCATGTCCAAAGGGGATAAACCTCAAACGGCATATATATACAGAGATTAAACAAGAAACTATCAGGGCTCGATTTAAGGTGTTAACCCACTTGCACCGGGTGCAACCTAAGATAAAAACCTAGTCGCACCAATCAAATTCCATTTGCACTGTTTTTATTGCAATAATTAATATCAGAAATATGCTATTGAATTATTTAGATGTTTTATTCAGAAGTTTACCCTCTCAAAAATTGACTTGCACCTGGTGCAAGTTAGAGTAATAACTAGGTTGCACTTTGTAACATTGGGATGCACCAGTGCAAGTAACAAAGCACTAAATCTAGTGACTATATAGAGAATACTCAATCTGGTTTATACTAGTATTCTTATTTCTGAAATAAACATAATTACGCATCTTAAATTCTGAATTCAATAGCCGATAATATACAACATATTTCATCAGATATAGCTGGACTTCTAAACTGAGACTTTGTAAGAATGTCTGGAAGCCCTGTCGAAATCAGATTTACTCATTTGCCTTTTATATTATTCTTGTTAATATTACCTCAAATAACAAGCTGCCTGATTCTTAACAATATTTTATGGTGAATGCAAACCGATGACAACTCCTAAGACTATATTCCTTACTCTCAGTGGCTGCTTCCAATAAATTAACAGTTTATCATACATTTCATTTTAACAATTTATTATTATCTGTAATGCATCTGCCTCAGTCTGACGTGCGTTTTCAACACTGTGTTGTCTGACAGGGATAACAGTCCTCATTGGCAATGCTGAAGATTGTAGAACATTTTGTGTCAATTAAGGTCCCATCTTCCCAAGCAAAAGTGTCCACCACCCTATATTAAAGTCTAGTTTTCACCTTTATACAAGCCAGCTGACATTATTTATCAAATTAGGACGGTATTTTCAGTACTTACCTGAACCATGGACACAAACTGTCATCCACAACATGTCTGAGAAAAGCCCCTGTTAAGCCTGAACAGGGCATAAAATAAATATCAGTCTTTGGGTTGAAGCCACACTTTTTTAAATAGGGCAGTAACTTCTCTTTACATTCATTGTATCTGAAAAAATAATAATACAATATCAGGAACATTACGAAGAACATTTACTAAATGGAGTTCATCTTCGTGACACAATGACGGCAGTGTTCTAGATTGCTTGGATTTAATAGTTCCCAGACAGGCACACTTGGAAAGCAGATTTTACAAAACAAACCTGGTGACAATGTTTAATACATTAAACCACAAAAACATTCGACTCATGTGATTACAACAGTTCATTTTCCTGCTTTGGCAGGGCAGATATTAACCTTGTGGCATAGTTTAAGATACAAATATTCTTTTCCTTTGTGAACAGAGATATGTTAAATACTGTGTAGCAAGTGATACATATTTTTTGCTGTTGTTGTTCAACACCTCACTCAGCAATATTCTGGCTATATGGTGGCAGTCTGTAAAATAATTTAGCCTCGACCAGACAATCCAGTGATCAACAGCATGAGCATTAAACATGTATCAACGAAATCAGCGAGTCTGACCACCCAATCCTGTTAGTCTGCTCTGAAAACAACACTAACCTTATCTTCACGGGTAGATACATAAATGAAAACACTACCTAAACCACATTAGTGTCCTTACCTTATTTCTGACCATTCCACTGTAGGATCATCCATTTTATTTATGAGAACCACTAAATGCTTCACACCAGCTGTCTTCACCAACATAGCATGTTCTCTTGTCTGTCCTCCACGTTCAAACCCAGTTTCAAACTCTCCCTTTCTGGCTGATATTACCTAGAGAATTAAACAAAATTCCATCACCTACATGTACAATATAATGTACATACAGACTCCATATTCCAAACTGTGCTCATCAATGTACATGTATCAGGGCTTGATTTAGTGCTTTGTTACTTGCACTGGTGCAACGCAATAATACAAGGGAAACCTAGCTATGAGTCAAGGTACAAGTCAACATTTGATAAATAAATCAACAAAAGATCTAACATCATAAGCATAAGCTTGCTAAATTGTATTAGAAGAAGACCATGACAGAATCTCTGAGGGCAAGTTTTGATGGGCATCAGCAGGCAAACCAATTGCCACAACGGCATGAAGTGAGCTGAATCAGCAGTGCATTGAATAGTAAACGAGCACTGATGTGATGCTGACTAAGAATTAGGACTGAGTATAAAACTTATCAGCATGTCCTGGTATGACGATGGGATGGGGCACCTCAGACCACTAGGGGATGGTGGTGTAGCCTTTGGTTAAAGCATTCGTTCATCACGCCTAAAGCATTCGTTCATCACGCCTAAGGCATGGGTTCGATTCACCACATGGGTACAATGTGTGAAGCCCATGTATGGTATCCTCCGTCATATTTCTGGAATATTGCTAAGAGCAGCATAAAACCCAACTCACTCACTTAGACCACTTGACTGTTAGTAGTCCGATAGTAATAGACCACAAAGCTTATCATACAGTTACAATGCACAGTGTTGAGCTCACCAATATTGCCAAGTCTGCCTGGGATGCCCCTCCTATCATGTTGGGAACAAAACTCTTGTGACCTGGGGCATCCAGAACAGTGAAGTGTTTCTTCTCTGTTTCAAAGAAAGCACGTCCAACTTCTACTGTTTTTCCTTTCTCCCTCTCCTCGAGATTAGTGTCTAATGCCCATGATAGATACCTAAAGAATGATACAAAGAAGTTCTTGTGTAAAATGAAAGGTGATGAAGGTGGTGAAAATATGCTCAGATTACAACGGTAGTCATCAATAATGCAGAATAGCTACATAAAGAATCAGCTCTTGCAAACAGAAACTTTGCTGGTCAAGTATCCCATATATGTCAAGAATGTTGCGAAAGTTGCACTCTAGTATGATGTATGTGAATTGTGGTTTAATATGAAATAAGTCATAATGAATTCTTACCATGTTTCTCTGTTCTTCTCCTTGGCCTCTCTCTCATACTTCTCTAGTGTTCTTTTGTCCACCATACCTGTGAGATACAGTAGATGGCCTCCGATTGTTGACTTGCCAGCATCTGAATAATACATAGATTTAACGTATATATGCTCAACATCACACATGGACACTGACTATTGCATGAAATAACCTTGACTGCGGTGCTGATACGGTAAGGCAGTTTTGGCAAAGAAACACTTCTGAGATCATTTATTTATTTTCTCTCACACTCGAACATTCCAAGCTACATACACTAAATTTAAGGCTGTCATTAACAGGAAATGTTACTGTTGACATGAACAAAACAATCCGCCTGGTGTATTCCCTACAAAATGCACCCTGGGAATATAGACAGTTCACAAAAAGAGACATTGTTAAATCTGTTGAGTGGCACATAATAAACTTAGTTCAAACATCTGTCTAACCAAGGCTATTTTATCAACAAATTTGTAATATACACCCAGAAAGTGTCTGGGTCGTCTCATTCAGATTACTTAAAGACTGGTCGCTTGTCAGAAGAAGGCATTAAATTTGGCAAATACTGAACATATATCCATTACTGTATCTCACCCCAAACAGACCCATCACTTTTGTGACAATCTCCAGCTATGTAACTGTGACATCTATCAGGATCAGACGTCACTCATCACATTGAATGTCACCACTCACCAACATGTCCTATGAATACAACGTTGACATGCTCCTTCTTGGGTTCCAGGGAGGATACAGAAGGTGGTTTCTTCTTTGGTTTGGGTGCAACTGGTACCTCAGTTTCCATGTCTTTGTCTGTAGTCTGTTCAGAGTCTTCTTCACTATTTTCCCACTCATCAGCTAAATACAAAGACATTCACTGCAGAAAACAACAAATATTCTTATTTTATAGGATTTTATGCAGCTTTAGCTATCTTGCCAGAACATCCTCTAAAAGTTGTACACACGTTGGGAATATAAATTGGGTTTCTCCACACCAATCCACTCAAATAAGGCTTGAATTGTCCATATATTTCTGTGAAGCTCACTATCAGATTAGGTCTATTCACAAAAAGACATTCTGGAAAGATGTGGTAGATTGGACAGTTACCAGGTGTCTGTGCTGTCAGTTTAACCACTCAAAGTAAATATCATCAGCCATGACAAAAGACAGACAATCAGATGTCTGATTATCACATTCAAAGATCAGTGAAACCATACCTATATTGCCATCACCATCTGCTCCTTTATCTGAAAAACAAGAATTTGAATATGCTACGTTTCTGCTTGGAGTTACTCCTCAATACTAGTCACTACCAACATGCTCTATTTTGTAACCTGAACTAAATCTTATCACTGTTAATCTGTTGTATATACTACAAAAGTCTATGTTTGAATGAATACATAACTGGAAACAAATCACTGATACATATGGAGCTGTAATGATTGATTTACACCAGTCATCAATATACAGATACTTTACAGTGGAATGTAAATACTGATTCAAGGCCAAGCAGATCCATGCCGCCACCACAAAGACAGTAAGGTCAGACACTGCAACTTCCAGAATACTGATGAACAATACAGATAGTTTATATTGATGCTACCTTTGGCCACAAGAGTGACCGGACACTCACCTTGTGCATCTGTCTCCATCTTCTCTGTACCCCCTTCTGGCTGTGTCTCGTTCAGGACTGGGTCCTGAGAGTCCGCAACATTATCTGGAAGAAATTTGTTTCAATAAGAACATCAATGATTGTGATAATATAATTAAAGGAACCAAATCATCTTACATTCACATTTATTCTACACAACCATGTAATTGGATCCATAACATCCATAAAGGACTAAGTCAAACTTCTGTTGAAATAATATTCATAAATATACGCTCATGACATAACTACTTCTATCAAGGAAGTGATATCCAGCTGCAAAATACTTGTCCAAGTTCATGATGACTGTATTTCGAATCTGCTCCATTTCTGTTTGCCTTATATGCCAGACATTGCACAATGCTAAGAAATAAACCAAACTTTCTGCCACAACTAAGCACGAATCTTGAGCTACATATTGCGGAAGTGTGAGACACACTACTGGTATTTCATATGTAAGTAGCAGTGGGTCCAGTAAAGCATATCTACTTTTTATAAGGTAATGAAATGAGGCCTTGTACAACTCATGGAAGACAACTGAGTGGTACTTTGAGCAAGCAATACTTTGAGCCCAATTTGACAAGCAATATGTTCTGTTACCAAATCACAAAAAGAAGATAATTATGAAATGTAATGACAGTTTTAGTGACATCGCTCTTGCCCTATCAATCTTATCTATAATTACAAGAGTAAATTTTTCTCAGTTTCAGATAAACCTTCTGCCCTTCTAAAGAAAATATTAAAACTTTCTTGGGACATGGCAACATTCGTAATTTAAAAGGTTAATTCGTTACATCACTTAGAAGTTAAGTTTTTTGTACCTAGGATAAATGAGGTCTCAAATGGGGGGAGGGAGGCACCTTGTGCATTCTGTAAAACATCTGGGGCTTTTAATATAGCTGCATTACTTTTAAGTTCCATTGGCAATGTTAAAACGCTGAATCGACATTTGATTACCACTGGAGTTGTCTCACAGTAAAACTTCACATTTTGTCCAAAAGAACTGTTCCAAGAACTATCGTGTATGTGTTCCTTGCTCATACAACACATTTTTTTAAAACAAATGAAGTTTCTTGCCTTGATCATGATTACCCAGCCATGTGAGACAGTGAAAAAGTAAGAGCTGGAAGTGAGCTTGGCCAAAATGTCAAATTTTGTGATTCAATTTCGTAATCGTATAACAGTGAATTTGACAAAGTACTGAAATAAACTACGAAGTTTAAAAAAATGCAACCAATAATGAAATTACATTTTCATAACTTAAGATGTTCCCAATCGTTTTCCCATGTGATATTTAACTCCAAAATCATGTGTTTACATGGAAATAGCATGTATCAGACTGTTGAATAAACATGCTCATAGTTAAACAAAACTAAGTCTAATAAATCATAACTTAGATAATTGGCGATTACATTGCATGAAATACTCTTTGTCAAACTTCCTTCAGAACTCAATACGAACAGATTGTTACGGTCACCAATCGGGTGTTGCACTATGTCATGTGCTGGAGTCCTGTGGGACCAAGCATTGTACAGAAAAACAATGGAAGACAAACACATATTTATTGCAAATTATGTACGTGCTGTTGATATACTTTATTTTGGGTCGCTTCAGAGATGGGTATATAAATTAGCAATGCATTTGAAGATTTATAACTGACTGAGTTTGGTTTTACGCAGCTTTTAGCAATATTCCAGCAACATGACGGAGGGCAAGGTTTATAAAGGTGGGGGGTGTTTACATACATACACACAGACAGACATTTGTATAGCTCCGATATCCAGCTCAGCTGCTCAAAGGAGCTTTGTTTTACCCTCGATCACTGGATGTCAATCTCAACAGCACGTCTCAACTCCCTGGGGATCATACAATCGCAGCCACTAGGCGCACCGAGTGGCTTTCCCATCCTTACGAGGTACCCATTCACAGCTGGGTGGACTGGGACACATAGTCATTCTTATATGTGGGATTGCTTTATAAGATGATGATATATGGTAATTGAGAATGAATGAATAATTGACAAGAGAATGAAAAAAACTGACAAGCTCAACGACACAATGCCATCTGCCATTTACAAGGACGGCATCGCAGCTTGAGGTGGCAAGGCAGCGTGTCCAGACAGACCATATCAAACCTATGGACCCGACACTACAATACTGGGAATGTTAATGTAACCTGCCAAGCTGTTATCGATGCTCATTTTGGAAACACGATGTCCTGTGTCGAACCGAGTTCTTCCAAAATCCAGCGCATGTACCTCTGATACTCGGGCTGCCGTGGCTAAGGTGAGTAGAAACAATGTTTTCTGCGTAAGTATAGTTCGAGTGACGTTTGCTCTAATGGCTCGTAGGTATCATTGGTGAGATGTTGTAGTACTACATTGAGATCCCACGCAGGTGCCTTAAATTTCTTTTGCTGATCCTCCAGCTTAAAGGAACGTAATAAGGCCAGTAGTTCTGGTACCTTTGTCAATTTGCTGCCCGTCTCCATGGTCAAAACTGAGCTAATAGCCGCCAAGTACGATGATAAGGTCGAACCTTTCAATCTCTTAGTATGTCATGACATAAGTAATCCGCCACTTGAGGATGAGATGCTTTCATTGCTGTGAAACCTTTGCGCCGAGCGTATTGTTGAAACCTCTGCCATTTGTCATCATACAGGTTGCGAGTAGATCTGCGAAGAGCTAGAGTGACCGCTTTAGCTGCTCTAGCGGACTGACTGACTGACTGACTGACTGACTGACTGAGTTTGGTTTTAGGCCGCTTTTAGCAATATTCCAGCAATATCACGGCGGGGGACACCAGAAATGGGCTTCACTCATTTTACCCATGTGGGGATTCGAACCCGGGTCTTCGGCTTGACGAGCCAACGCTTTAACCACTAGACTACCCCACCGCCCCTGCTCTGGCGGAATAACCTCTCTTCCTCAAGCAAGTTTTGATACTGTCGGTGCGTGAAGCTGGAACACTGCCGGATTCCTGTGAACTTGCTTGGTGTGAGGATGAACCAGTAGGTTCGGCCATTCTGGTAGTTTCAGGTTTGGCTTTCCTAGTTCTTGAATGAGATCTGGAAACCACACTCTCGCTGCCCAAAAGGGCGCGACCAAGATCAGTTGGAGGACTGTAGTCTGCCTGCTTTTCTCGAGTACTTGCGGGATTAGAACCGGTGGTAGAAAAGCGTATGCGTTTAGTCCTTCCCACGACATGTTCAATGCGTCTGTTGTCCATGCTAGCGGATCTGGTACCGGTGAGACGAACGTCTGCCTCTGTCTGTTGAACCTTGTGGCGAATAGATCTATAAGTGGAGATCCTAGTGTCCTCATGATGAGACGTAATGCTTCCGGATGAAGCATAAGATGTCTTTAACAATGCTGTTTGTGGAAAGAGTTTTGCCCGAAGGTCCCGCTTGAAATATCAAAATGTGAATTGGTGTTTTAGTGAAAATTAGAATTAAAGGGTTAGGGTTATAAATAATCGCCCCTTTTTATAAAAACCATCTATTCTCAGGCATAGAATTTAAAAAAAAACATATGGGGTTTAAAGGTAGTGCTGGAGCGATTAATCATAGGATCGGTTAATCGTTCGATCTAAGTCAAAATAAACGATTGTCGATTACAAATAAACTGCAGATCAATAATCGGACAATTGTTACCGAACAATCTGATCGTCATTGCTTGCTTACTTCTAAAACTGAAGCTGTGTACTGCACAAGTGTGCATGCCTCCCCTGCCAGCCAATGGCAATGCTAGATATATTTAGATTGGGGTGTCCTATTTCATCATTGAAATACTACGGGTTGTAAAGAGGTTTATAAATATTAATTAATATTCATGAGCAAACTGTGCCAAACTCATTTGTCCAATCATGCAACAAAACGTCACAATACAACCCAGGTATTACAGGTTAGCTATTTTCTAATTGGCTGATTGAGGGAATTCCTTGAGTTTCATTTGCATACAAACACGTGACTTTCGTAAGGCGGGTAAAATTAGAGCTATTTTTGGTTTCATAAATTCTCTTAAACTTTCGATACAGTGCTTAATTATAATACTTCACGGAATATATTTTGTGTTTCAACATTAAGGAAACGTCTTTGTTCACCCTTCAACATCAACACAAGACAGAAAAAAGGGTTTTTTTTAAAATGGCACGCCATGAAAATAAATCTATCAGCGTGGTCACATGACTAGTAGCATGATCTTGTAAGGTGGGATGTCAACTAAGCAGACGAAACATTAATGGTATCTTTGGAGTAAAGATTTAGGATTTTTGTGCATTTGATTATGAGGTAGAGATTGCATTAAGGATCCCTGAGTTAAATTTAATGTCTTGTGGGTTTTTTATACTGTTGCCTACGCATGGAAACTTGATTCGTAGCATATCGATTGCCTTGTTGTCATTTGGGATGCTTCTCATGGATTTTCTTGCATTTTCGTGCAATATACGGGTATTGTAATGGGCGATCAAAAACATACAACGATCAGAAACGTAAGACGATAGGTTACTTGATGATCCAAAGACGCTGCAAATGTAAGTAACTTGCTAGCATTAACAATTGACAAGTGCTGACAACATCCCGGAAGTTAGTTCGCTAACGTAGGTATTTGACTATGCAATGACCGTCCAAACGATTATAATCAAGCGATTATCGATCTGACACAAGCGATTATCAATCTGACAAAATGTAACGATAACCAGCTCTAGTGAAAGGTGGAAATCTTCCCGTTTTTTTCCATGGTTATGTACATGTACTTGATACAGGTTTTCCAAAATGACAATAATGAATGGAATACGCCTAAGGATCAACTTCGAACCCCTCTACCTAGTATTACTTATATAGTCCTGCTATCACAGTTCAACTTTAGAAATATAAAAGAATCAGGTGTTCTTTAATGTATTTCAATACAATTGTGAATTTCTTTTTGTCAATAAAAACAACACAAACTCTTTTCTGATGATGCCAATAAACTTTTGCATCAAATTACCACAATATACAGGTTATCAACATATACTATTAACAATAAAATGTCTTGCATGCCATACCTGAGAGACACTTTAAAATCAAAGACCAAGAAAGAAATGTTCAACAAACCGCTTTGTGACTACTTGCTGCAGCTAAACTCAGAAAAAAATACTATGACATGTCAGCTTTGTATACATGTGAAATTACAATTTCAGAATGAGTGCCTTAAGGTATGTGGCAGTGATCGCAAAAAAGCTGATTAGTCTAAACGTATGAATTTGGCCTTAGCTGCTCCAATTCATGGATTACATCTGAGAAAGAAGCCATGTGAAACATTTTGTATGTTGCCAAAGAAACTTGTGGTCTCTGACTCTGACATCAGTTTGCTGTGATCTCTCAGAGCATATTCAATAACTTTTGAAAAATAGCCAAAATTTTCACTTAATGCTGAAGGGCCCAGGTCCTGCCTGTGTCATCAGAATAATCTATTTCAATGCAAGCGTATTCTTAGATTTTGGTACTTACTATTTGCACTTACTCAAAATATTACTTACAATTTACTCTTCAAAATGGCCCTATATTAGTCAAAATCTGTGAAAAGACATTCTTCCAAATATTTAATGTTCAGAAATTAACCTGAATTATATCTATTTCTTCCAATCATGTATTGAAAACAAATATTAAATACTAGGTATTTTCAGTGTTAGACCAATTCAGTCATGTGATTCCACAGATGAGACATGTTATCTGGCTATGTGTAAAATATATTTACGATATTCTAAAACATATAATCTTATTGTCAACGTTTTTAGTTTTTGATTTTGTAATAACTAAAATGATTTTTTCCATAAAGATAGACATTATTTCTTCAATTTTACAATTTCTTATGTGCCATTGCTGTAGAATGACCAACCATATGAAATCAAAATTTCATATTCCCTTGACGAAAACTTGATGAGAACTTTAGATATTTACACCTGAAATAAAACACGCATGAGATTAAAGTGGTTTGAAACTACTTTTAACATTATATACCTTGATTGTCTGAACCAGGCCCAGTTGGTACAAATGTTTGTGCAAACACATTTTGGCCTGGCACGAATGCAGGTGCGTTAACATTGAGACTTGATAATGGTTTCGTTAAGTCATTGACGGCATCGTTTCCGGAGTCCCCAGAAGCCACGTTTTCATCCCAAGCGTCTGGGATGCCGTCCTGACCGTTTTGAGAGGCCATGTGGATTTAACGAGACGAAATTATCTGTTTTCTTTACTTATCTTACACCACCGCGTGGAACACCAATCGTGACGTCACACCCTGTTCGCATGCGCTGGATGAAATCTCGCACTTTCCCGACACATTATTTCTGCATATTTCTAAATAAAAACTTATGTTACAACAATTAGAAATTTATATTTAGATGTAAATAGTACTAATATATGTTTTTACGAGTTTGAAATAAATTAATATTATTAGCTACTTTCAACAATTTGAGCGGTTACTTCCCTTGGAAGAGTATGAAACAGCTGAACTTTCAGTGTTGAAACGCGTGGATATTTTGCAGGTTGTCCTCATCCTGTAGAAAATATCAATGATGGCGGCTGGCGCGGCTGCGGCCCTGTTAGATGAATTGATGGGACGAGATCGGAATCTCGCCCCGTCAGAACAGAGAAGTGAGACACATTGGAGTGATCCCGAGGTATAATATAATACTTTTAAAAATGTTTGAAAACATTTCGTAATCTGTCTAATGCGTTGTTGCATGTCGAAAATAAGCGAGAGAGCCGTAACAACCACAATCACCTGACTTGACTACTGCAACAGAAATAAAAATGTGTCAAATAAAGTGCATTTGTTGTTATGATTGGTGATAATAAATACGTCTATTTGTACCATGTTTTCTAATGAACAAAGTGTATCGGTTTCAAGCTACCATCAACGAAAAGGGTCGCCATGGCGAACGTGTTTTAGTGATCGAAACTCGGAGAACACGTGCTTGTGTACATGGCGTGTGGCCATCCAATAATGCAATGTTTTCATTTTAATAGAGATACGAGTCATGTTTTGTCTCAAGTTGTGAATGAATATCTTGTCAGTAACCTCAATTTATACACAAGTGTTCTCTATACCCACAGAAATATCAAATGTAGCATATATGGTATCATTTTAGGCAACATTGATAAAAGCGTACTCCGACGTAGCATCAACAACATAAATATGAAAATGATGGAAGTAGATTAAGAACTTGTGACCAGTGACAAAGGTTTTTAGGATGGTAAAGTAATGTATTTTCCTTTTGTTTCATCTGTATGATAAGTACACCTATGTAATTATGTGAATTCATTGGGCTGTTATGTGGTCAGTTGTTTGAATCAAAGCATCAGCTTGTACCTTTACCTAGGTTGAAAATAAACGTCTCCTCCATTCGTTGTTTTGTGACTCCAAACCTTTCATTGTTGCACCTATATGTGATGTTAACTTCTTGGACACAACTGTTTCTCAGTGCACACTTTTACCTGTGTGTTACTCTGTGTTCAAAATTAGATAAGAAGGCCAGAAACTAAGATTTTTGGTGTGTTAGAGACACAATGATGCCTGTTTATTTGTAACATTGCTTAACCCATGCTAATTTGTAATCAAGTTAATAACAGAAATCTGTTAACATAAGTTTGAAAACTAGAACAACTTAAAAGGAAATTCAGAAGATAATGGTATTCTTATGAACCATGTTACTGGAACTCATGTTTTTTGTGGGTTGTCCAAGAATTATGGGTAGTAAGGTGAATATTGATGTTATTATGAAGATAAGAAACCAGTAGAAATAACACTTTTTCTGTCATATGACATGTTTCTATTTCACAGGTATGCAAGTATTTTTTGTGTGGATTTTGCCCACATGAGCTGTTTGTCAACACCCGCGCAGATTTGGGTATGTATTTTATGTAAAACATATTTTTGTGTTAGCTAAAACTGGTAAGAGATGAGGAAGGATAACATTGATCAATTTGATCACTTGCTTGACAACAGTGTTTGAACCTGCTCCAAAATGTCGCTCTCACAGCAATACAGAAGTTGTTCATCCATATATTGATCACTTGCTTGACAACAGCGTTTGAACCTACACCAAAACGTCGCTCTCACAGCAATACAGAAGTTGTTCATCCATATATTGATCACTTGCTTGACAACAGCGTTTGAACCTACACCAAAACGTCGCTCTCACAGCAATACAGAAGTTGTTCATCCATATATTGATCACTTGCTTGACAACAGTGTTTGAACCTACACCAAAACGTCGCTCTCACAGCAATACAGAAGTTGTTCATCCATATATTGTCATCCTTCCTCACTGCTTCAACTTCTAAATGCCTCTCAAAGAAGTCATGAATAGATGAAGTTATTTAAAAGTTGGGGTTTTGCTGTGAGCCTATTCTTATTTTTGTTGTCTGTGTTTCAGGTCCCTGTGATAAGATTCATGATGATCTTTTGCGCAAAGAGTAAGTCATGTAAAAGGCTACCTAGCCAAATGTGTATAATTATACATATTTAAATGCCATCTTATCTCTTGTGAACGAACAATAGAAAATGCCTTTATCAGTGAAGATATCACAAGAGTAAAAATGTTACAAAAAACATTGTTCCACCTTTGTGTTATTTTATTTGTAGGTTTTGCTGTATAAATGTAAAGTAATGATACTCATAGTCATAAACTAAAGTTATGCAGCAGCTCTTTGGTGTATTGCCGGACACTTTTATGCATGGAACAATTTGACCTGTCACCGCTGTGGTTTCTGGTGGGCTTACTATTTCCATTGTCAAAACAGTTTGTTGACATGTGATTGTCCAGCTATAACAAATATGACTTTTAACTGAAACAAAACATGCATACATTTCAATTTTCTGTTATATACGGTTATCTACAGTTCTATATGGCACATTATGTATCAAGTAAACGCACAGTGTAAGGAAGATAAGTGCTGATCAACCAACTGCATTGTTTTGAGTTTTCATGCAGACGCTTTAGTATGTTTTTACAATTAATACTTTCCATGCTGAATATATGGAAATATTATAACTTCTGAGGAGTCTCTTTGATAGTATACTGAACAGCCAAAGAAACGCAAGTCTGGCTTTTTGTCAAGTTTTTGAATAGAAGACAACCCAAATTATATCTAATCATTTATTCTATAGAAAACACTGTCAATGTAACAGCTAAAAGTTGCTGTTGTCATTGAATTGCAATAAGTTCAAATTGATCACAGTCCGTCAAATGGAGATACCCCTGAACGCGAAAAGTGACTAAAAGTCTCTTTAGTAGCACGTATAGCCACCTTGAGCTTGCACACAGGCCGTGCAACGTGGCCTCATTGAGTTCACTAGAGTCTGAAAGAATGCCTGATGCAACTGGTTCCGCTCAAACACCAATCTCTAATCCAATTGTGCAAGTGTGAGTGGCTGTCTACCTGCAGCAATCCTCCGTCCAATTTCGTCCCAGAATGTTCAATGGGACCCATATCCTGGGAAAGAGACGTTAATGTTGTTCTGAGCCAGATAATCCATCAACACCCTTGCTGTGTGAGGGCTGCAAACGTCGCTGGCGTTGTTGACGTGCCAAAATTGGCCCCACATATGGCCTTCGGTAGTGGATTCCAGCAGCCCGAAGACAACGCCTAATCGCATCGCTTGGCACTGCTCCCCTTGACCCAAGAACTAAGGCTGCTGTTACTGTTGCTGCTTCAGTTCGGTTCCTTAGATGAGTGACCCGGATGAACCGATCTTGCGCATGAGTTGTCACTCGTTGCCGTCCGATACGGGGACGATCAGCAGCAACCCGCTTTGCTGATGACGTTGAGGAAGTCGTGTAATGGTGGTAAGATGACAGCCCAATTGTCTAGCTACAGTGGTTGCAGTGCTATATCCGTGTAACTGTCCAATGGCCATTCCCCTCTGCTCAGTCGTTAGTCTAGGCATCGTTTGTTTGGCGTGTACACCTCCTAGCGTCAATACTGAACTGTTTTTTGACACAAACCTTTATAAAGGATACCTCAGAGTGAAATGCATGCTTTTCATCCATAACCGTCGATGCACGTGCTAAAATTATGGTTTTGCTGCACTGTTGGTGTGTTTTGTGCGAATGTTTCGTATGGACGTCAAATTGCATGACATCATCTCAGCTGGGATCATTACGTCACTTTACCATGAACGTTCCATAAACATGAACGCTTACCTTCATGAGATTCCATTTTTTCTAAACTTGCGTTTCTTTTGCTGTTCAGTATATGTTGTCATAGTTGCTGAACTTTACAAATTATACTATTTATCTTTGTACTGTGTAGTTCATACCATCAACAAACACAGAAAGAAAGCAGATCAACTATTTTGTGTATAGTGCCCGGTTAACACTGTCATATCATCAGAGGTGAAAAAACAAACTTTGTAAATGAAAATAGATGTATGATTAGATTGTGATATTGGGTTTACCAGATGCATTATTAATCCTTCCAGATATGTGAAGAGTTCACGGTTTGAGAGGATGGGTTATGAGGATGATTTCATGCGGTTCTTACAAGGTCTCATATCTGATGTGGAGAAGCGAATACGCAGAGGACATATGCGTCTTGCATTGAACAGCACACAGGGATCTGTAAGTATTCCTGATTAGTGTGTGACGTGACTAATCGTTACTTATGACTGCATGTATGTTGGTCATACTATCAACCATTTAAGGCCATTATGATATATCAAGAACGTATGTCACAAAACATCAACTCACTCTGTATCCATGTCATATATTTGTTGTTCGGTTAAGAGTATTAAGTAAATAATCTAACATACAGTTTGAATGGCCTTCTATGGTATTGACAACCATAAAGATTGAAGTGGGAAAACATGTTATTCTTGATGTACCGGTAATTTCTTAGAATAAAGAGGCTTATGTGTTGTTGTTTTTTATTTTTCAGCTTAATGGTAACTTGCCTTCTCAGAAAGAAGAAAAAATAACGATGCTTACAGAGAAAATTAATGAACTTGTCAATCAGGTAGGTACATAATTTTTGTGGTGAAAGTGTTGAACATCTATTTATTATGCAATAAATATCCCACTGACACCCTCAAAGATGCTGGGTTTTGAGGTAGCTGTGTGATCGAAAGTAACCACTGAAATCCAGGAAGGAAAATCATGGACCCTTGCCATACCTCTTTTGTATAAAACTGACTCATATGGTGATCCTTTCATCAAGATACTGTGACCAAATACATCAAGTCCCAAGATTGGCAACATTCCATATGTTTACCCCATCACAAAAGAGATTCATGTGATTGATTTAACTTGGGAACTGTAAAATATTTTCCCTTCATCTTTGCTTTCCCAGTGTTTTATATTTGTCTCCATTCTGTTAAGATAAATAACAAGTACCATTTCATTATTGTAGTTTAGATATTATAGTTGTGTCTTGGGTCACATGACAGTGCTAAAATAAGCTGTGGAAAGACAAGCTCAGAATCTCCACTGAGTATATTTTGAAATCAAATCTGTCATCACAAATTGATAAAAGACACAAAGGGAATATTCTGTTTATCATCCAAATCATTCTTCCAAATTTTTGAGTTTTTAAACCGCGGTCAAGGTAATAACCAGTGTTCTGTGTGTGAAAAGAACATCTAACCAACTTCAGAGGCAGGGGGATTGTCATTTGATTGTAACATGTCCGCTAATATCTCCCATAGAAGCAATATCCCAGAATGTGATGACAGATTAGATAACACTCTTCTTTCATTATTGACACAAGATAATCACTAGCACTGTGTTTATTTTGCTTCATTATGTCTCAAATACAACAAAGAAGGCTTGATACCGTGAGGTCCTCATCCTAGGTCTTATTCCGAGAACTTCAGACAGTGTCTCTACCAGCTAAAACGTTCTTCAGAATTAATCACTTTCGGACACTTTTACTTGAAATATATGAAGGATCACCATCTGTCATCTATTCCTAACTTACCTGGGAGAGTGATTTTGATTGCTTGTTTATGTTATTATTATTCATAAGAAATTCTGTGGAGATATTTGACTTGACTTCCCAAATGATGCTGTGGTCAGCAAATGGGTCAGTGGTATTTATCTGAGACTAATTTCAGTGTATGAAATAAGCCAAGATCCCAGCCAGACATCTGGGCTGGTAACTTCAAAATCTTACCAGCCCAGAAGAGATATAACCAGTCAGTGCCAGTGGGCATGTTATCGAATATTTGTTTCACCCGTCCATCGGGCTGGCTAGCTGTAAAATTAAACCGTCCGGCAGAAATCTAGCCCATATCGGGCGGGCGGATGGGCCTTATTTCATACACTGCTCATTTGTAGGATGAAGATGAACAGATTAAGTCAGTTCCTTTTTGTCTGTGTGGTGGGGTAGCTGTGTGTTTAATGCGTTCACTCGTCACACAGAAGGCCTGGGTTCAGTTGCCCACAACAATGTGTGAAGCCCATTTCTGGTGCTTCTTCTCTCCCCCCCCATGATATTGCTTTGATACTGATAAAAGCAATGTAAAGTCACTCATTCATTCACTTTTTGTGTGGAAGTAACAAAGTGTGGTATTCCAGGCTGAACAGCTGGGCTGTGAGGGGAAGGTGGAAGAGGCACAAGGGGTGATGAAACTCTGTGATCAGCTCAGAGAAGAAAGAAGACAGTTAGAAAATGTGAGTACTTTGCTTTAGCCCTACTACTAACCTATTAACCATTTCCTTTACCTGCGTGACTTTCAGCACATAGGTTGAGTATAATGCACAATGGAAATCATATAATTCCACAAATGTCATTTATGTACATGATATAGTCATAGGATAGTCTTATGGTTTGCAATTGACAGCAATTTGTCTATATTCTATTATCTGTACTACTGATTCTGATGTATTGTTGATTTTAAACAATAAATGTTTGGCAGTAGATGTTACAGCATGTTCAGAGCTAAATGTTTTCCTGTTGTATGAAAAGTAGAATATTGTGTAATATTATTAGTATAATATGTGTGAGATCAAAAACAGGACCCATGTATCATGAATCAAGCATGTTGTGAATCATATCAATCCAGTGAAACATGGTTTTGTTATCAATATCAAAGTTTGATTTTTTAATTTCAAATATGTAAGAATTTCTCTCTCTGTAATTTCACTCTTTTTAACTAATTTAAGTAATTAGTGATTAGATCCACATTGTGCGTGTTTCATAAAAATATCTACACTTTAATTCACTATCTTGGGATTCAATTTGTTTGAATCTATTTAGCAATTATAAACCTGTTGATTATTTTCAGCATTGGAAATTGAGCATGAAAGTCAACAGGTCTTTGGCCTAACCTAATAGTGACTATGAGATATTAATGGATTACTTACATTCACACACTTGATGAGAAAACACCCAAACCACCATGATCCACTTTAATATTGGACATTGATTTAGTTTTAAAAGCATGCTGTTTGTGTCCAAAGTCTGTATATTTTCCTTGTCAGGGGTGGATTGCTAGTGTACTCAGGTACAGTGGCACATGTAAAATCACTTGCCCTGATAATTTTTCCACTATACCGGCCATTTTCTTGTTGATTTTTAAAAAAACCCAACATAATTAACGTTGGAAAGTCAACTGGACACCGGTGATATACAAATTTGCTTGCCCAACAGAAATAACACTGGACTCGGACGCGGGCAATGGGTTATTTCCACCCCTGCTTGTTATATCAAGGAATGGTGTTCTCTAAGGACATATAACTATCGGTTAGGGGTGGGTATTGCGGAGAATTTTCATGTTGCGATATGTATTGCAATATATTGCAAGAAGTTATTTTTAAAAAAGCCCCACTACTTATGATCGAGTTAATTCTTGATTTATACAGTAAAAACGCAACAAAAGCACTATGCTTGATTAAGCTTTAATAAAAAATATTAAAAAAGACAAAATAAAAATGTAAATAATATTTGGCACAAAAGAAATAAGGAAATATCTGAAGATTTCCGAGTGTTACGAATGCATGTAACAATGCTGGTTTTGATCAGCGTATTGCAATACGTATCGTTTTCATGTCTGAACCGGTAGAAACCAGTAAACCGGTTATATTGCGCAGCCCTACTATCGGTTGGTGTTGATAGCTGACTTCACATAACACCAGTATGATTTATGTAATTTATGATGATGCATGGGTACTTCTTATTGCTTGGCAGACCTAGAAGCCTTGAAACCTATGAATATGGGGTTTAAATGTGGATTTCATTAAAGTGGTTAATGTCTGAGACCATTTTCAGGATTTCCTCCCACATTAAGTTGACACACTGCGATATAAGTTTAAATACTGTGTAAAGCAACATTAAAGTTAAACCCAACACACAGAGTTAGGATTCCAGGTTAAAACCATGCTGACCATAAGTTATGACCAAATGGATCAGTTAATCAGGTCTGGACACTTGGTTGATTGTGTGTCATCTTGACCTGATGATGTTCATCATTACTTATTATGCCAATCACTGGATTGTCTGATCCAGACTTGTTTAGTTGAAGACAACTGTGATGTTGCAGGAATATTTTTGAGTATGGCAATAAACAGCAAACAAGAAGATATCTTGATGTGCTGTGACATACAGGTATGGAGTCAGTAAATACTGTGGCTCAGTTTGCCTTTGATTCATCATGATCATGATGATGCCCCTGCAAGCCATAAGGTACCCTCCAACATGTTTTATCCCCCGCAACACACTTTGTGTAGGTATTAAAATGGACACCGTCCATGTAAATTTGTCTTTTCCGGAGCAGAACACCAAAAACGTTCAATATTTCTTCTCCAAACTAGGCACATAGATAGGTCTGGTGGTGAACTGGTGCCTTTTGGTTGTTTGGGATTTCTGAACAAAATATTTTTTGTGTTTCCATGGCAACAAGTTTGACTTTGACTGAAATTGGTGTTGGTGCTCTTTTCCAGAGCAGAACATTGAAACTGTTTATCAGTTCTTCACCAAACTTGGCACATAGATAGGTCTGGTTGTAAACTGGTGCCTTTTTGTAGTGTTGACTTTCTGAAATATGATATTTTTGCATTTCCATGGTAAAAAGTTTGACTAAGATTGAAATTCGTGGTAATGCTCTTTCTGGTGCAGAACTTTAGAACTAGTGTTTTTTCCCCAAAAAATTGGCACCTCGATGGGCCTGGGGGTGAACTGTTTTGGGATAGTTTGGGATTTCTGAATGAGATAATTGTTTCATTTCCATTGCAACATTTTTTACTTTGACTGAAATTTGTGATAGTGCTCTTTTCCGGAGCAGAACATTGAAACCGTTTATTACTTCTTCACCAAACTTGGCACATAGATAGGTCTGGTTGTAAACTGGTGCCACTTCCACTCTCCTTCCACTTTGTGGGTATTCAAGAAACTAATGCATCACTCTATCAGATGGACTTGGTAAAATGTATTCATGAAGAGTATATTACCATTACGATTGATGACTTTGTCTTCTTGTTTTATATAGTATTTCCCTCAAGTTAAAATGTTAAGCATTATTAACACTTGGGTTGTTGGAGGGACTGCTTGATGTTCATGCTAACACACAAAATTGATGTCAGTTGATTTGTCAGGTATCAACCTGTGAATTCTGTAACTGCTTCCCTGTGAAATGTTAGATTGACAGTAGATATCTATATCCTTTGCTTACTGAGCCTTGATTAAGATTAGAATTGAGTAGTTTCAAATGCGCATCAGAGACTGACTTTTGTCAGAGGATTTACTAAAACTATATTGAAAGTAAGTGCATACTCCTGTTTAGATGATAGTTGCATTCTTGACTGATGCTGTCAGAGGATTGTTATTAGTAATGCTCATCAACCAATGTTTTATTTGGTCTTGCCACCTTACTTGTAGGATGTTGAAAGCAACAGGATGAACCTTTCAGCTGTCAATGATTATGTTCAGTTTGTTTCAGGAACTAAAGTCTTTAGAAATAAGTGTAGATAATATTGGTCACTTTAATACAGACTTTCTTTTTGCCTTGGTATTTTGCACATATATCATGATTGATGGAAGAGTGTAGTGAAAACAAAACCATGGTAGGTAAATGATGCAATTTACTGTAGGTCTATACTTCAATGCATTTCCCTACAAATGTAGGACACGTACACACATATTGAAAAGCATAAGATCTTGGCCAGTGGTAATGCAGTGTAGCTTCTTTGACTTTGTGGATATTCTTGGTTCTGGGAGGTTTTTGTGTTTTTGCTTGTTCTTTGCCTTACAGAAAGTTGCATGATTTCGGGGGAAAAAAACAGGTAGAATTTGAAGGAAATTGAATTTAGAGAAAAAGAAGTGTTTTTCACCAAGACAGCACTGATGATGGCTCCACAGCACAAATGCTCCATCCTTTTGAAAAGAGCTTCTTGAGACAAGGGTGTTGTATTTTCACAGAATCCTAATGCAGAGCTGCCTCAGCTCAAACAGATGGAGGTGTGTGACACATGTGGGGCATTCCTCATTGTGGGCGACATGCCACAGCGCCTGGATGAACATCTGCTGGGGAAGCAGCACGCAGGATACGCACAGGTCCGAGCCACGGTTGACAAGATTAAGGTAAGGGAAGAGCCAGACAGGGCCTAATTGTGTGTCCTTTCATCTTGTAGAACGAGACGGGTGCGTATTACACTGATCCTGAGAAGACCCTGGAAGTGTGTGGATGTTGCTCTGCTTTGTTAGTTGTTGGGGATGCCCAGCAGCGCATCGATGAACACTTAATGGGGAAACAACATATGGGGTATGCCAGAATCCGTGCCTTTTTAGAAGAACACAAACAGGTATGCTTTGGCAGACATTGTCTTTCGGTTCTTTCCTTCTTCTTTTTTTTTTTCTCACAAAATTTCAAAGACTTGTTCTGAGAAGTTTTCTGTCTGGTGTAAATGAAATCAGAATAAATGTAATATTAATATAATGCTTCTGTACCTGGCATCCCCATATTATAAATAATGCCCTTTGTATTTTGAGCTTTGTTCAGTTGTAGCATGTTGGATATTCAATATGGAGATATTTCACTTTCAGAAAAAAATACAAGCAGACGTGGATGAAAGAGAAGCCAAAGAAGCTAAACTGGCACAGGAACGAGAAGAAAGAGAAAAAGAGAGGGAAAAAGAAAGAGAAGATAGACGTAAGAAAGAAAAAGAGAAAGAAGATGAAAAAAAGAGGGAGAGGGAAAAGGAACGAGAAAAAAGGAGGAAACGTAGCAGATCTCGTAGTAGACGATCACGAAGTAGAGACAGGAGATCACGTAGCCGTGACCGAAGGAGAAGCTCAAGTCGAGACAGGTAAACACTCTACAAGTGTTGGTAAACATAACATGGGAAGTTGATGAACTTGTAATTCACTTGCTTTATTGTTTTATTTATTCTTAATAATTTGAAATGACTGCTAAATTCAGAACAAATGTTCTTTACTCTTTCAGAAAACGAAGATCTCGCAGTCGTAGCCGACATCGTACAGGTCTCGAAGTCGAGACCGTCATAAGTCTAGCCGGCACCGGTCAAGATCAAGAAGTAGAGGTCGCAGGTCAAGAAGCAGAGATCGAAGATCAAGGAGTAGAGGACGCAGATCACGTAGCAGGGATCGAAGGTCACGTAGCAGAGGAAAAAGTCGACGGTCACGAAGTAGAGATAGACGTTCTCGCAGTAGAGACAAGAGCTCAAGGAAACGCTCAAGAAGCCGAGACAAAAACCGTAAGAGTAGAGAAAAAGGTAGGAGTACTACCTCCTGTACTTCGGTAAATGAGTATTTTTTCTGAAGTACACTAGTGGTTTCCTTGTGTAACTTTATTTCACGTAGAATCACATATGATCAGCACAAGGGGAAAAGAAATATATCCTGAATATAAAAAGTGCACAATAAAGATTTGTCTCTGAATGACAGAATAGATGCCTTGGCTAAAGTCAGATCATGTTTCACAAATTGAAATATTTGTATATTTTGACTCCTTTGCAAATCTTTCACCTTTCTCCTCTATATTGGAATTTGAAATATCACATGTTGGGTCTCCCTCTGGAGATTCCAGGTAAAGTTGAACCTAAGTTTTGTTACATGTTTAAGGGATCAAGTTGTTGTGACCTAAGCGATATAGTATGACCAGAAATTATTGAGAATTTTAGGAATATGTTTAATTGGATTTCTAGTATAAACAACCTTGACCAGCTATCAAGTGCTTGGTTTCATTCAAGAGAGACAACTCTGTTAATCCTTTTTCATTAGTTTGTGAAGAGTTATCCCCCTTTGTTCACTTGCTAGCAGACGACATTTTCAATGATCCTCAGTATGGATGATTTAGAGAAGGGGAAGTTGATTTTAGAGTATTATAACAAGGACATCAGATCAGCTAAAGAGATTTCAAGTAGAACAGGCATCCCTTTGTCCACTGTTTATCGTGTTTTGAAAAATATTGCAAATGGATATGGCATTGAGCACCAGGGAGGTGCAGGTAGGCCCAGAAAATTGACTGTCGGTGACGGGAGGCTGCTTGGTATTCTTGTTTCTAAAAACAAACGAAGGAGTTTAGAAAACTTAAGGCTGGATATTATTGATAGAGGAACTGTGGCTGTCTGTAAGGAGACAATTAGAACTGAGCTGCATGCAATGGGTTGGCAGAAAAGTCGAGGAATTCCATCACCAATCATTAAACCTGAACAAAAGGAGCGAACTGGTGCTTACAGCATAGAAATTTTAACTGGGACAATGTGATTTTCTCAGAATAAAGTTCTGTGTGGCTGTTTCCTAATACACTGAAATTCTGGACCAAACAAACTGAAAAACTGTGCCCAAAGTACTGTCCGAAATTTAACGTGTGGGGTGGCATATGTGTGTTAGGGGCAACGCCCCTCTGTGTATTTGAAGGGAATATGAACAGTGAGCAGAACACAGATATTCTCAAGAGACATTTACTTCCATCTGCTCACGTGTTCTATGGACATTTTTGGATTTTCCAGCAGGCCAACGACCCAAAACATCGTTCAAAGCATTCACAGGCCTGGTTTCGGACCCAAAATATGACATTATTAGATTGGCCAAGCTATAGCCCTGACCTTAATCCAATAGAAAATGTTTGGGGACTTATGAAAGAAAGGGTCAATAAGAAAAATCTGACAAATATTGCTGAAATGAAAGAAGAGGTGGTCTGATATTGGGACAGCATGGACCACGACTTTCTAACTTCTTTGATCAGTAGTATGCCCTGCCACATTGAAGCCTGCATTGCTGCCCATGGTGACTTGACAAAATACTAACTGTTCACCTGTCTTTGAATCTGGAGTTATGTTCTGCTAATATTCACATTTAATATGTGAGTAATGAGTGAAAAAAAATAAAATACAATCTTTAAATTCTCAATAATTTCTGGTTGTACTGTAATGTAGTTGCAGTTAGCCTAAAATTATTCCACTTTGTCGTCCCCCAAATTATAACTTGTCATAAATTTTTCACTAAGTATTTACATCCATAAAACATCAGAGCCAGATTGTACCAACAAATGAGAGCCAGTTTAATCCACTTAGTGTTACAGTGTCTATTACTCAATGATACAAGGTGTGTGGTTGGTTATGACTCAAGTTGTCTGTAGGATTTATCTTTACATGTGCAGACTTTCAACTGGAACTAATTGCACCTATATCAATGTTATTGCCCATCCTTGTCCACATTTCACATTTTTTTAAGAAAATGTGAGCGGAAACCCACACAGCTAACAGTACTTTTTAAAAGCTTTTTTACACCACTGATAACTCTGAAACATTTTTACTGGCGTAACCACAGGCTTGTAACGACAAAAAACAAACTGGCATCAAGGTAGACAATGTCAGAGACAGTATATATACCTAGATGCCAGTATTTTTGTGTTACAAGTCCCAGTAGGCATAACTAAATGGCAAACTGGGACTTTCTCTCACTGGCTTGTGTGGACCAGTCTTCATTTCTTCCTGCTTGATATGGCTTGACAGTTAACAGTTACTCATGCACCCCAGTCTTATGAGTTGGCTGACCGATTACCCTTATCTCTTTCCCCCAGGGAAGAAGAGTGAAGAGAAGGATTACAACGGGAGGCAGTCCACAGAGAAAGACAAGGAGGAAGTGGGGGAGAAGGTAATCGAAAAAGACACTAACACCAAGATCAGTGAAACCAAAACACCGAGTGAAAATGACAAGACAGAGGAGATGCACATGGAGCAGGAGACAAAAGCACCAGCAGCCAATGAATCAGAAGGTGACTCAAAATATGATGCTTGAGGTACCTTGAAGACATTACAGGTAAGTGAAAACAATGACGGCACACCTTGCTGCTGTTAGTGTAAACGCCTTTCACTTTCCAGCTCAACAGGTGAGTGAACATTTAACATAACCTCTCCTTCTATGGAGCCTGCTGAAATTTGTACTGTTAAAGAGGATCTTTTGATTCATTAGTATGGAACTATTTGATATTCTGTCATTTGGGAAAATACTGAAGATGGTCATTTTAGCAGGTTTCATTTGAGGTGATATCTTGTGTGCATATGCCTTCACTTCAGAAACTGTATTATTTATTTCTTACATTATCTAGTTTGAATATGCATATCGAATGTGTGAGGCTGCTAACATAAGATTTTACCTCAAGAATAAGACGGAGAGCTTGTGAATGTAAAACACAAAAGATATTTTCTGGTTTGTATGAAATATTTCCTATTTTTTCTTCCTTCCAGTAATGGTAGTGGTTGGATGGCATAAAGCAGGTATCTCTGTTATTTAATAAATTTTGACTATGTTTGTAGGGCAATGGTATACATAATATCCTGCTTTTCTTCCAACCATTCTTTTCATCAACCAGAAAATATTTGATGTTGATTTCTTTGAAATCCAATATTTTTTATGAAAATAAAACTCACAATCTCTTCAGTTATTAAAAATATTCTAAATTGGAAAGACTTTTTTTTATCAATTAAATTTTATTTCTAATAATGTAAGTTGTTGAAGTATTTTGAAATGTAATTCGCATGAAGTAGACAAAGTTTGCTTTAATGGAACACCTAAGATGGAGCACCTGCTACTCTTGTAGCATCAACTATGTAGTGTTAATGCCTCTCTCGCCCCAAGTGATGCCACTAGCATAAGACGATGTAGCGAGAGCCTGTCAGATGAAGGAACCACATCACCGCTGTTCATTTCACAATTACGGAATAACAAAGTTATATCTCACCAGGTATTTCATGTGGTGACAGATCAATATTTAGAGCAATTTGCCTTTGATAACAACTTGTGACACTTTGTGGTGGTTCTCAGAGCTAAATTTGAAAAAAAGCAAAGTTGTTATCATAGGCAATAATGTCAATGCATGTTCCTGTTTTGAGTTGAAGTATTGGGTAATGCATTCCACATTTTGTAGTCACTGCTATCAATGTTTCACTCCGGGAAGGGGTCATTTCATAATATGGAGGTCGAGAAAGCAAGCAAACAGTTTTCTGTGCAGTGCCAATATTTATATTTTTTGCAATAAATCACAATCATGCTAAACTACAGAAAAAGGTTTCTAATTAGAATAAAATTTAATGTTTATTCTACAGTATTTTTTTCCTTTTGGCAGTGAAGTAATTAAAGTAATGTATTATTTCTTACCTTAAGACTCAAAACATGTTTTGCCTTCACAGATCTCTGTTCTAAGAATATTATGTATTTGGCCCATTAAAAATAGGCTTAAAATGATAATTTATCATAGTACCCTTGATCCATTTCAAATTTAGGAATTCAAAATTCTACAGCAATATGTGGCTAGGTTGACATAAGGGAGCCTAAAATACCAAGTAATGTGTGACTGGTTTAAATATAAGGTTTCTGTTGCACTCAAGCCAAGATGGGAGAAATGAGGAGAGTCTGTGCTCATCCTCCATGAGAATAGCCATGGGACATCGGAGCTGCGCTTTCATCTCTCGTCTTATTACGTTCAGAGAGGTGGGTCGTATCTACACTGATTGTACTCTATCACAAGCTGTTATTTAGGCAGTAGTAAACCCACAAACAGTTGTGAACCGGTTTTCATTTTGTTGTTTTGTCTGGTTGTCTTTGCAGCTTGCTCCAAGGTGCCTGCGGAGGACAAAGTATTTCCAGAATTGCGGAACAACCGAAAACAGAAAGATTGTACTGGTTACATCTGTTTACAACTTAAATTTGGATTATATGTAATTGGGATTTCAAAGGTTAGATCTTTTCTGTCGATAAGTAGATTGTCCTCGTCTCCATAATTCATTTTATTGCCATTTTTTTCCACTGTAGAGATTCATTTCTTGTACATTTTGTAAGTTTTTAAACTTAAAGCCCACCATTGCAGGTTCTGGATCAGGCTACTGCATAAAGGATATATTGTTTGCTGTCCATAAATAAATTTGCTGAAGTATGACGTATGAGTGGTTTGTTTTCTCTGGACATGTTTGTCATTGTGACTGACATAATGGGGATCAGAAACGGTTTTGGATTCTTGTGCAAGGTGCACCTGTTCATGCTTGGATACAGTAGTTTTTGAAAGAATGTTTTTGGCAGTATAAGAGCTTTGCCCAGGTGTTCTCTGTAATCAATTATGGATCAAATAAACCAATCCATGTCATCTGACAGAAGCAGCCAGGTCACATGAGCAAATGTTTTTAACTGCTTCTTCCTTTGAATAGGCAGGAACTGCATTACTTCAGGATTTCCCCCCACATGAAGCAGATAGCTCATGATAAAACAGAAATACAGTTCAAATTAGTATGAAACCAAACTCATTTACCTAATCATTTTTGTCAGCTCTTAAGACTTGGCACACTTCTACCCTTAAAAATCATCTCTTCAGATGAAACAATCTACTGGCAAACAAGGATAAGTTGAGCACCGACCTGACAATTTTCCTGTAGTAGCATGTATGAGTGCAGCCCACTGGCGCTTGCCATTGTTAGCGAAGGAGCCCCAGGTTGTCCACGTTTAAGTGTAGTGTGACTTGCTACACTGACGTGAGAGTCTTGTCAGCAAGGCGTGTGCAGCTACTCGTGAAATCATTGTGCAATGCACATGCACAAGTCTACATCTGCTCTACCTTTCACAAACCAAATGGGTCTGCTCATTGCCATGCGCTGCCTACTTCTCGTAAACACGTTCTCTGCACTGCTGTAACTTCTATTTGTTTGTCAGTAGATGCAGATGGAAGCCATTCTGATCAATACTTTTGATAGTCATACAAGTGAGTGAGTTGAGTTTTACACCGCACTCAGCAATATTCAAGCTATATGGCGGCGGTCTGTAAATAATTGAATCTGGACCAGACAATCCAGTGATCAACAGCATGAGCATCGATCTACACAATTGGGATACAATGACATGTCAACCAAGTGAGCGAGTCTGACCACCCAATCCTGTTAGTCGCCTCTTACGACAAGCATGGGTTACTGAAGATCAGTTCTAACCCTGATCTTCATGGGTCGGTAGTCATACAAACCAAATGTATGAGGTTTTGCACCTGATACAGAAGGATTACATCAGAGTTGTCTTAATGATGGATCCTGGACAACATGAACAAGAGGCTGACAGTGGAAGTGAATCTCCCAAGCCAGGTTACATATTGCATGAGGGCATAGGTGGACTGGGATGCCACAATTCACTGTGCAGAGTTCTGTCCCCTGGGCTGGCCAGAAACTGGCCACATTGTAGGTTCAAATTCCAGTGTGCCTGATTTAATGTCTGGGTTTGTCTGCACCATATACTGTTGCTCATGGATTTGAGTAAATTGGTTAATGTCTTAGACCTGCATAACTAAGGGCATTCCTGAAACATTTAGATAACATGACAACTTGACCACTGATCAAAGCAGAGTCCAATACAACTCCCTCAGTATTATATGAAAATAACTACCTGAACACCTGATACTTATTTTAACTAATTCTTTCAAAAGCTTCATCAAAAGTTCATGTAATAATAATTCCACATGTAAATGTTGATGCTTACCAGTAAATGATTTTTTTCTGATTAGACAGCTGTGGACACTATTTGATTTTGAAACCAAGGCAATGCTTGAACTTTTCAGGGATTTCACATGTGGTTTGTTTATTACCCTGGGAATTCATTTTGACATACTGATCAACTTTGTCAAGATCACCTTCGAGGGGAAATCTTTGCTTAAAGGTCACATGCAACGTAAAACACAACTTTGCAGATTCTGATACCTTTCGGTATGGACTTACCGAAACAATTCGTCAAAAATGTAATTTTCTGAGTAAAATTGATATTTTATACTTATCCTGACTCATGTATTATTACTCACTCTCTCCTCATGAGTCAGGATAAGGAAAAATATGTAATTTTCTGAGTAAAATTGATATTTTATACTTATCCTGACTCATGTATTATTACATGAGTCAGGATAAGGGAAAATATGCAAATTCAACTTATAAAGTTGAAAAATAACGCTGATGAAAAACCCGCGAAATCGGAGTTCAAACGATTCACTAATTTTCCCCGACTTTTCGGGAAAACTGGTTTCAACAGCTGGGCTGTGCTCATAGCACGTCGCCAGTGAAATAGGTTCAGCAGCATCTTGGAAGCGGGTTGTCCGGTGAATACTCGGTGAAGGCTTTGGTGTGAGCTATTTTTCTAATGTTTTGTTGATATTTCACAGGCGCAAGCTTTTTATATGTTATGACAGTACATTAACTGTTTATATAATTTCATTTGTCTATTTCACCACACGTTCTTCTTACCCGAGTCACTTCTCAGTTCGATACTTAAAAGCAATGTCATTATTTAGCGTTGACAGAATTTCTAACTGTGATATAGATATGTCGTTGTCACAGACAAAACTCAATGTCTTGTTTTATTGACACCTGTGTGTCTGCCTGCCTGTCTGCTAATGGCAATATTCAATACACAGCTGCTATACTGACCACATGCAATTTGAACTTAACACCAATCAGGCTATACACCATAAACAAAATGCATTGATTTATGGCCCGAGTTCGGTCTCTGTCACATTATGTAATTACACAGACAGGCAGGTGTGATACTTGAACACATGACATGTTATGATGTCTGTTGATTGCAACATGTTATACACAAAAAATGAGCATGTATTTACAAAACCCAACATCTCTATATATACACACACAATGAGCCGTGAGGGCATCTGCAAATGAACCAGCCGTTACACTTGAGTGCACACCCACCTGCTCTGACTGGGTTCGGTGTCCCGGCTGCTTCGTCGTCTTGGGAAGTAAACCCAAGTACACAATATTGCACTTTTGACTTGCGATTGTACGCTTATAATTTTGTTTATATGTTTTTTCATAACCAGCAATGTATATTATATGTCATGAATAAGTGATAATTGTGTTTTAATTATGTTTGATTTTTTGGTTGCATGTGACCTTTAATCAGAACAGACCTACCAAAGAAAATCATGAGAGAGCAGCTAAATGATGGAATATATACACACTTTGAACAGTCATATGAACACACATTTCAAACTCACTAACAGCTCCCTTCCTATGATCAATTTTGGACCAGGGGAATACATGACTTTCAACATGCCTTCAGGTAAGGAGCAGAGCCTAAACCATTACCGTTTGATAGCATCTCACAACCGGTAATAGAATTATAAATGTCATTAAGCATTCAGCTCATGTATCATAGGAACAAAATCAGTGCAAGAGTCAGTCTGCCTTATCATTATGCAATATATGTTATTGGCAGCAAGACTAAAAACTACTGTATTATTTTGCAAATTACAACTGAAACACATATACCATAAATAAAAAAAAAGTTTATGATTGTAATAACAATACCTTGAATACAAAATCAGATTCATGGAAATATTAACTGACAATAGATCATTTCATTTTGCTTGTTTCGAGAGACCAAGACTTCAAATAGTCCAAATAGGCACAAAGTGTTCTTTTTCGATTTTGACAATTATGTAAATGTTCAAATTGTTCAAGCCACTTCACATGTCCATCTAGTACAGAGTGAACAGTCCCTTGATGAAGCTGAAGACACTGCAGCAGCATGCTGTCTCAAATGACTGTGGCTGACTTGGTTCTTCCAGGTGGCTCACATCAATCAGGACACAGGATTCTGTGTTTACAGGCTGTACTGTAAATGGTGATGTGGGATCTCCTAAGTCTATCTCAGGGATGTCCTGCCTCAAGTTCATTGTGGAAGGTACTGCATACAGTTCTGTGGGATCTCCCAAATCTACCTCAGGGATGTCCTGCTCCAAGTTCATAGAGAAACTACACAGTGACCGAAGGGCAGGGTTAGGGATAGGGGTCTGGGTGATGGGTGGGGAATCAACTTCAGCAGTTGACAGCTTTGAGAGAAAGAAAAGGCAGTGTAATAAGACGGAAGATGTGTGAATATAATTCTGTCCTATTTTTCCTAAAAGTACATGTCCAAGTTGTCTTTTGCTTCTAATCAGTCATCTTGACTTAATGTTTGCTTATATTAATAAGTATAAATCTATAGTAATGGTTTTACACCCAAATGGGGACAAAAAACTCCAAATCACAACCGTCTGTTTTAAATCATAGGGTAAAAGTCAAGGAAAGCTCCCTTCATGACCTACTGGGAGAGGGACAGGATGGTCGGAGGGGCAGGCAGCAATGGTAGGATGCTGAGACTTTCTCAACTCTTCCCGAGCTGCCGAGGGAAATGATGCATTAATCTATGTAAAACGTATTCAAATTGATGACAGATGGTGAAATGGATCTATGAAATATGAATTGACATATCATGGGACCCTCTTTTAATCCACTGATATACCTCACACATTCAGGTGTTGTTGCTAAATGTTCTTTCTTTGAAAATGAAACAAAATGGTCCTTATGTATGTTATATGGTTCCCATCAAGATTTGTAACTTAGTCTCATGAAGTTCCTGTTCGGTAACTAAAAAGGATTGTTGATTGAACGCCATAGGCAGTCATACATATTATGTTCATTATGCCGAGTACCAAAACCAAATTGGGCTTAAAAGACCTAAATAATGTACCTTGATGGTAAACACTTGCAACGCTCGTGAACATGGTGCAAAGTTCGCCACAAGTGTGAATCAAATCGCAAAATGACAGCAGATACTTGGAGTTTGCCAAACAGATGCTAAACAACAATGGCGTCGTTTGCAGACAACAGTCACCATGGAGATGTTCTCGCGAGATTCCGTCGTCTTTTTAGTGAACTGGAACTGGGGTCGTGTTGCACGAACATCGTTATCCAGTCGGTCTCGTTGGACGAGGGCGGTTCATGCCACAAAACAGCGAGTATGGAGTTACGCCTCTTTTAGCAATGTTCCCGCAACACCAGAAATGGGCTTCTCATATTGTACCGATGTGTGGAAACGAACCCGGGTCTTTAGCGTGACGAGCGGACGCTTTAACCACTA